CCCCCCCCCCCCCCCCCCCATCCCCATATAAACGCCTGATACTCACTGATACTGAGGCTCTCCGGTATTACGTTTAAAATGAAAGGACTGATTTTCCCTTTTCTATTTGTGTAAAGGCTATCAAGCAACACGATATAGTTACGGCCGGCTCAGTGTTGTTATACTAAATTCAGAAAACTCCTGTTTGCCCCATCTACAGCTACTCAGTGCAGCTGAGGTGGTAATTTCCGCTTACATCGACTGCAGTTAAATAGCTTGACAACTTCTTGGCGAAACTTCGGGCAGCGCATGGTATAGATCAAAGGATTCGCCGCTGAGCCAACAAGCGCGATCAACATCGACAGCAACTCGAATTTCATGGTTTTTTGGTCGTGTGCATATCCTGTCACAATCATCCGCACAAAAGTAGGAGACCAAGTAACGAAGAATACAGCAGTTACCAGAATGAAAAGGCTTGTCAACTTTTTCCGGGCTTTTAAAAGCGCAATATTTACGTTCGGTTCCGCTTTAGACCAAGCATAGTAAATAACTCGTGAATAAGAGAAAACCATAGACGCAGTTGGCAAAATGAAGCCAAATATAAAAAGCACGATTGAATACGTCGTGTTAAAAGTTTCGAGCCAAGCTGGTGCAAGTGAGGCTCTTGTTATCCTGTTTGCTCTTTCTTTGGCAACACTTGAATATCTCTCAAAGGTAATGCAATAGCCCGGTGCACTTAAAACAGCTGCCACCACAAATATTGTCCACACTAATTTACGCATGAAAGTTTTCGTCACTTTTCTCATGTGCACAAATGGTTTGAGAATCGCATAGTACCTTTCCATTGACAAGGTTACCAGAATATAAATTGAGCTCAATGCGTCGAAAGTAAAATCGGCAGTCGCATTGGAGGCGTCTTTTGAAAGGAGAACGACGCTGGCAAAAACCTGGACCGATAACAACAGATCGGCGCTTGAAAGAGCTTGTAAAAGAAAGGTGTTCGGACATTCCCGTAGCCTCTTGTTTTTTTGGATAATGACTATGACCATTAGGTTTCCCAAAACATTGTAAACGTAGACTGGAATAGTGGTGTAAATAATGATTGAAGAAAACATTGAAACCATTTGAAAAAAAAGCTGAACTTAAGCGAAATGTTGGGATTCAAATGATCGTATGCAGTTATCGAAAGTTGCACCCAAAAGGAGTCTTCTTTATAAACATACAGATATAATTTGGCCGACCCCCTCTAAATGTTTGTACAACAAGGAAAGGTGTTCCTTTTAAAACGAAGTTTTATTAAGAGTACTTCTTTTTAATTGCTCGGCAACAATAATGTTTACCCTGCGCGAAAAAAGTGCCATAAAATGAGAAAACCTTAGGAAATAAATTAAGAAGGTGCAGATGTTCACAGATGGTTCCTTGTGTTTGAATTTGTTTCAGTCAACTGGAATTGCGGCTTAACCCTATTTTTCCTTGAGTGGACGCTTTTATTGCTTTTGCTGTTTTACCAGAAGTTACTATCTGAAATCATCGATGTAAAGGAAAAATAAAGAAAAAAAATGAACAAAACCTGTCAATGTAAATGCTGTCCTTAGAAAGCGAGTGAAGAGTTTCCATTCTGATATGCCATATACTATGAGTTTTCATTTGAATTTTAGGGGCTCATGATGCTTGCAAGTTTTTCAAAACGGAGTGTTTGCCAAGTGAATACTGCGTTCCGCGGGTACTGTCGGAAATGGTCTGGCCAGGAGAATACAAATGCCTTTGTAGAAAGGGTTGGAAAAAAGTTCGCGGGCGCGGATGTGTTGGTAAGGTAGAGACTGGTATTTGTGCATGCACCGTTGAAAAAAATGCGCGAATCTTTGGGCGCTTTCCATTTAGTCAAAAATTCCGGAATTTCCGGTTCGGCGGTAAATGGAACACGTTTCCTCGGTTCGTCCCACTGGAAAATTCCCGGAAAAAGTGGAAAATCTAAAAAGGTGGGCCCGTTTTCCCGGTTGGAAATTTCGAACGGAATCTCGCGTTCCATTTACTCGTTTCTCGTAGTTTGAACCAGTTTCAGGTTCACGGCAAGAAAAGCTGTCGAGCACCGCGACGTACCGGGGTTTACGACCAAATGGAACAACTTTTTACCAATCGAAAATTCCACTTTTGCTCCCACCGAAATTTCCGGGTTTTTTTCCTAAATGGAAAGCGCCCTTTGTTTCCTTTTAAATTTTTCCAGAACGACTGCCTGATATAAAGAGAAAGAAAAATACCAAGAAATCATTAATTGATTCTGTATACGTAAGAAATAGGAATAACTCGTTTGCTTGGATATGTTAAGCTGCAAACAAACTAAAACGAAACAAGACAAAACGAAAACACAAAACAGATAATGTCGCGTACAGTGGACTGTGTACTTGCAGGTAACCTTACATTGGCAACAGTCATATGGTTTCTGGCTCGAAGCTGGCTCTATTTCACGTTACGTTGTTGCAGTGTATTTGTTTTCAATATTCCTTTACCGTCACTTGCTCTTCATAAAAATTTGTTTCCCATCTGCCACCACCCTCATTCACTGCATTGCACCTCTGTATTTATTGACGGCGTTGACAGCAACACGTCATTGCTCGAGTATAGACCTTTTTAGCTTTTGTTTTCCCGATGTAGACCACGTGATGTTCCCCGGGGAATTTGCCTTTTGTCTTTTCATAAAATCATGCATTCAATTTCCGAGTAAATACACGTGCAAAGGACGATATTTAAAAGAAACAGTTATGGTCTTAAATGAGAAAACATAACATTCAAGCTAGAAAGGTCTATTAAGCTCGACACAATCCCTAGCCTATACTCTACCAAACCGATTTTCTTGTTGCAGACGTTGACGAATGTGGTGCAACGTTCTCTCCGTGCAGATGGTGGGCTATTTGTGTTAACACACTTGGAAGTTACTCGTGTCATTGCCGGAAGGGCTTTAGGGGCAAACAATGCGATGTAGGTAAGTATTCCGTGTACATAAACAGGAGTTTACCTGTGCTTCCTCTGCGATGTACCGAGTCCGGTTCACTTACCAAGCTTCAGGCGATCAAGTGAAATATTGGACTGATGTTCTAATCCTACATCAATGCAATTGTTTGCTGTGGTTACCTGATATGACACCATATGTGACAAGATGCAATCGTTGTTTTTATTGCCACACCTCGTGAAAGTTCTCTTTTTTTGGAGAAAATTGCATATTCAAGGCATTATTTATTATCTCTTTTGCCCCAATTCTAGAACCTTCCTAACTCGAGAGAATTCAAAATGGCGGATTCATGATTGCTCACTTGATATGATAACGTGATTTCCATATGAGATGACGTCATCGAGTTACGTAAACTATCATACCTTCAATAATAATAATTATTTATTCATTTACAGTGCGCTTTTTAACATACTAGGTCACTCTCATAGGTCTAAGGCTCAATAAATTTTAAATATCACTATGGAGAGGTCGAGGGTTCCATGTCGAACATACTGTGGCCTACTAAGTTTTTTAAAGGCTTCATTCATTGAACGTTGTTCATTTCTCAGATATTGATGAATGTCAGATGAAACCGTGCCCAGATAACAGCATCTGTCAAAACACACCTGGCAGTTTTAATTGTACTTGTCAACCCGGTTTTTCAGGCAAAAGTTGCTCAGGTAGGAATTATTATAGCGTATTTCACATATAATGAATCGAATAATCCCTGATTATCGTGAAGAACGCGATATTGCCAATTTCGCTTATCATTTAGTATACCCTTTCATGGAGGCATGTGTGGCAGAGGAGTTATCACCTCGAACTCTAGATCTAGAGGTTCGNATGCAATCGTTGTTTTTATTGCCACACCTCGTGAAAGTTCTCTTTTTTTGGAGAAAATTGCATATTCAAGGCATTATTTATTATCTCTTTTGCCCCAATTCTAGAACCTTCCTAACTCGAGAGAATTCAAAATGGCGGATTCATGATTGCTCACTTGATATGATAACGTGATTTCCATATGAGATGACGTCATCGAGTTACGTAAACTATCATACCTTCAATAATAATAATTATTTATTCATTTACAGTGCGCTTTTTAACATACTAGGTCACTCTCATAGGTCTAAGGCTCAATAAATTTTAAATATCACTATGGAGAGGTCGAGGGTTCCATGTCGAACATACTGTGGCCTACTAAGTTTTTTAAAGGCTTCATTCATTGAACGTTGTTCATTTCTCAGATATTGATGAATGTCAGATGAAACCGTGCCCAGATAACAGCATCTGTCAAAACACACCTGGCAGTTTTAATTGTACTTGTCAACCCGGTTTTTCAGGCAAAAGTTGCTCAGGTAGGAATTATTATAGCGTATTTCACATATAATGAATCGAATAATCCCTGATTATCGTGAAGAACGCGATATTGCCAATTTCGCTTATCATTTAGTATACCCTTTCATGGAGGCATGTGTGGCAGAGGAGTTAACACCTCGAACTCTAGATCTAGAGGTTCGGGTTTCCAGCCTCGCCCGTCGCTTAGCTCCTTAGACAATAAACGTTACTCCACTTTGTTGTTTACTTCACCCAGGTGTATAAATGGGTACCATCGACATACTGCTTGAGGGTAAACCTGCGATGGACTTGTCCAGGGGGGAGTAGCAATACTCCTAGGCATGCTTCATGCTAGGGAAACCGGGATAAGCTCCGATCTTTTGGGCCTTTTTCTGGTGTGCGCCTTTACCTTACCTTTTTGATTCTCAACAACTATGAAATTGTAGCTTATGTTGTGAGAAACATACATGTATTACATATAAAATAATTACCGAAGACATAGGCAGTATAAGATCTCAAGCAGTTTAAGGCCTGTGACTTAGGGTTTACTTTTGGAAAATGATTTATTGGCTATAACTTCGGTATAGATGATGACGCTAAATCAGAATTTGGCACAAATAAGGAACTCATCGTCCTTAACATTTTTAAGTATGAATATTGTGTGCTAAAAATCATAAATTATTGACCAATTGGTGGCCGGTTTACAAACAAAAAATCGAGCGATAGCATTTCTCTAATTCATATTAAATATTTCTAACACTTGAGGCTTGGAGTGACCGTCCTTTGCACTTCAATAAATAATTATGAGGGAAAACACCATTTCAATCTTGAATCATTTAAAATTTAAATTTTAAATTTCATGTACATTCATTCCAAACGTAGAAAGTTAGGTACGTTTATCCTCTTTCAGAAATGCAATTTGAGTACCCATTTAAACAAAGTAAATTCGCCACCAATTCGCCAATTTCCTTCATTTTCAATTTTTGGTCACGTGAGGTGCCACATGACAATAATTAAACGTGAAGTCGCAAGAAAACCTACCTTTGGGGAAAAATTCATTTTGTCCTGGGTCTCCTAGCGAGAGAGATTGCTAATCATTCATATACTTTGAACACACCTTTAACCCAGGCCTTAAAGATGCATCTACCCCGCATATCCCAGGATCTTTTTGTTTTGAAAAAGGGAAAAGGCACTCACATTTTTTCATTTTAAAATCCTTGGGGAAGAGGTTCAAAATGCATTGCATAAGACGAGTAGAATGAGCACTGAGACTGGCTTTGCATGAAGTTACCCAACAAGACCATACTAGGTTGATATATATGCCACATTCACGTTCTACATTCTGAGAGGATTCAGCGATGTTAAGGGAGTAGTTTTGTGCGGAATTATCACATAGAAAATTCGTGGTGAAGATACTTTACAATTAGAGAGCGTACAGTACAAATGCGTACTCCAGGCAGAGAGAATTTCAAATAAGATTAGTATTTGTTTGATTGCTTTAGAAGTTTCAGGAATGGACTCATCGTCCAAGAATGAGCCAATCATCACATTTCAAGTCGTAAAGCAACACGCTGTGAAAGAAATTTCCATCCCTCGACACAAGCCTGTAACGGTCATTCGCAAGGCCGTGCACATTACAGACTCTGGATCTAAAGAGAAGGCAATCATGGGATCACTAATTGCGACGCTCAACCTTTTGGGAATATTTCTTTATTGGTAAGAAGACACGGGCTGTTTTCCGTCCTTAAATATTTTTTAATAAGGGATTATATATTTAACACTGAATTTGATTTACTTCAATTGACCACACGAACAGGGACTTTTCATTTTCCTGGCACCAAATGAGACTTTTCGTCTTTGTCTTGGAAGAAAACAATCACGGTTTTGCTCCCGCGATGTGAGTTGAAGCTCGCCAAATTTGCAGCTAAAGGTTGCTTTTAGAAGTTCTACGCTTTCTTCTCTCCCGCAGCGCGGCTTAAAGGCGCTTTTTGTTTCGGGACAATCTGCTCAGGTGCTTGGCATGAAGGATATTCAGTTGGCTAGCTTTCGCGACTGCAATCACTTGATCCGCGTAAATCCATTTGGACATCTCCTCCTATAATTGACACCTTGTTTACCACCCAAAATTTTTGCATTACTTTTGTTTTTAATTGCTCCTAAGTATGACAGTCGTCCAACAAGAATTTGAGGGCATCAAGAGTAGAGTATGGGAGACTGATGTGCAAATGTCGATGAATGTTCCATCGAGCCTTTGTCGGAACTAAGAGAGAGCTACCACAAGATGGGATTAATTCTGGTACCCAACCTCCTATCAGAAATCACGTTATTTCGTTGTATTGTTGTTAGAAGCTCAGATTAAAATGTCTGCTATGTTTACTTTGATCCTTTGAATCTTCTTGTGGGCAGTAAAACAGCCCATGCTTACAGGAACAGGAGTATTTTATTTGTGAAGGATAGAAAGGATTAGACACGCGTGCTTCGCGCAAGATTCTCGTCCCGTGCAGTCTAATCTTTTAACTGATCATTTCTTGTTTACCGTAGGAGACAAAGGAAGAAAAAGAGAAATGAGGAATTTAAAAAAGAGGGCGAACAAGACAATTTATCCTCTCAACTTCTGGAGACGGAGGAAAGAAATTCAAGCTTTGGAGCGGTTTCGGTAGAAGAAGAAATTTTTCCTAGCACTCAAATGTTGGTAAACAAGGAAACTGTTTCAAACTCTTCATTGTTAGATAAAGAGTCTGTTTCTCACAATATGCTGTTAGAAAATATCGTACCGACAGGCGTTGATTCATTTACGGCAAACAAGGAAAGAATTCTTAGTGAAGATTTAGTTGTGTCCGACTTAGATCAGACGATTAGAGGAAGAGAAAGTACAATCAAAAGTCAGTCATTGTCTGAAATAGCTTCTCAAAGTTGTGAAAGATTTAAAAGCAAAGGAGATCTTCAAATCGATCTAAGTAAGGGAAGCAAAGAGAAAGTTTTAAGCAATCACGTATTGGTAGATAGGGAAACAACTGGAAATTTTCAAATTTTGGATAACAACCCTTAGCTCTTAGAACAGTCGGTGTGTTAAGTAAGACAACATTAAAAAATGCTAGCTACGCGCTATCAAATGTCGTCAGGCTGAGAAACTAGAAAAATTAAGGTTTTTAAGAAAAACTAACTAACTATAATCTGAGATAAAGGTTTTCAAGATACATCTACTTGATACAACTTGAATGTTACCATGACCGTGAACAGCTAAAAATCGATTAAGTTCCGCACATTGCATGCGTAAAGTAGACGAAATCTAGTTTTACAACACATGTTATAAAAATTTGAATTGCCATAAAAAATTGAAATAAAATTGATCGATCTGCATTATTTACCCCTCGTCTTGAGTAGTTACTTGTATTCACTTCCGATCGATCATCAGAACAATCACTCACCGTAGAGGTTATTGTAATCGAATGTTATCTGTTTTATTGGTTTTACATAGGGCGAGCAAATCGTAGTATTATTGTGTATGTACTTCTATTGCACGTACTCAATAAAGGCTAAAACATTATCATTGATTTGTCCGAGACTTTCTGAAAATTACAAAAAATAATTCCCAGTGAGAAAAAGCAGCCCGTTCTGTACAATTCTTTTCCGTTAATCTCGTGCCCAGATCTCTTATTGACTAAGCCGAAGGTGAGCTCTCGTCAACTGAGAAAATTCATTTTTTTGATTGGCTAGATTGTGAGCGAGCGACACGAGTGTTGTGCATCAAAAGGTCATTCTTTGCAAAGTCTTAAGTTCTGTTTAAATGTTATTTTGACTTGAGAATTAGTTTTCCGTCTCAATATACATTTTAAATTGTAAATCCATTTTTATCTTATCTTTAAAGATTTTTAAAGCTATCGGTATCAATAAAGACTTTTCAGGGAAAAGGATAAAAAAATTATCGCGTAGAAGTTGACGCGTACTGCTTTGAGGCTGTAGCGCGCGCTACGATAATTAAATTTAAGTAGGAGTTGAATTTGATGTTACAAACAACAAAACAACAAATTAGTTGGCTCATACTTAAGATGTGAGTATAACAACGTTTTAGAAAACCCTTCGCGTCAAATGTTGGTAATTTTTTCTGGAGCTGAATTCTTAAAGACTGTATCGAAGTTCAGGAAACTGAGTATTCACGTCCTTCACAAAACGTGAAATTAGGCTCTTTCACGTCGTAGTCTTTCATTGGTAGTCGTGCAGTGACGGCAAAGTTATCTCGTACCCAGATCTCCTGTTGACGAAGCCGAAGGCGAGATCTGGTCAAATCCGATTTGTACACGTGATCGCCTGTCATGAGTATGACAGGCGATGAAAGAGCGCATGCTTGAAAAAATCCTCAAAATCACGGCCGTTTTTCGACGTGTTAAACAACAAATTTGATAGAGACGTGAAGTTTTTTCTAAAACGCGGTTATACTCACATCTTAACGTCGAAAAACGGCCGTAATTTTGAGGATTTATTTCCAGCATGCCCTCTTTCATCGCTTGTCACATTCCTGACAAGCGATCACGTGTACAAATCAGATTTGACCAGATTTGACCTTCGCGTATTGACAATAATAAACTGTATAGAGCTAGCCACCTTACATTGGCCTGGCGCGGGAGGGATGCCGGGATATGATAGCCTCTCCGACAGCCTGGGTTCTAGTTGTGTATTTCTAAAATGGCGGCCTTCCGGTTTCGTTAAAATTGGTAAAATTGAGGGCATTTTAACTTCTGAACAAACTCCACTATGGTACAGATGAAAGTAGCCAAGTGCCCGTCNTTTCATTGGTAGTCGTGCAGTGACGGCAAAGTTATCTCGTACCCAGATCTCCTGTTGACGAAGCCGAAGGCGAGATCTGGTCAAATCCGATTTGTACACGTGATCGCCTGTCATGAGTATGACAGGCGATGAAAGAGCGCATGCTTGAAAAAATCCTCAAAATCACGGCCGTTTTTCGACGTGTTAAACAACAAATTTGATAGAGACGTGAAGTTTTTTCTAAAACGCGGTTATACTCACATCTTAACGTCGAAAAACGGCCGTAATTTTGAGGATTTATTTCCAGCATGCCCTCTTTCATCGCTTGTCACATTCCTGACAAGCGATCACGTGTACAAATCAGATTTGACCAGATTTGACCTTCGCGTATTGACAATAATAAACTGTATAGAGCTAGCCACCTTTCATTGGCCTGGCGCGGGAGGGATGCCGGGATATGATAGCCTCTCCGACAGCCTGGGTTCTAGTTGTGTATTTCTAAAATGGCGGCCTTCCGGTTTCGTTAAAATTGGTAAAATTGAGGGCATTTTAACTTCTGAACAAACTCCACTATGGTACAGATGAAAGTAGCCAAGTGCCCGTCAGATGCATTGTCTTTGACGAACTGTTTAATTGTCAATGAGAACGATTTTAGCCCCGAGAGAGTGAAGTAAGTTTTTTGAATTGAACCTACATGTAAGCTGATGTTGATGTGACGTGTCTAGAACTTTACCATTCAAATCGTAATTGAATATGGTTTAAGATACGGTGCAATGCGAGTAATTATTGAAGAAAATCTGGGAATTATGATTTCTGTTGTTATTTCTACCAAATTTATATAGGATGGCCGCTTTGCGATAAGTGGTAATCTAGAGGGAACTAAATTCGATTCCTCAAAGTGAAAATGGTGAAATGCAACCTCAGCACTTTTTAAGGAAAAATTTCGTACGATTTTCTTCGCTTCAGGTTCAGAGCTGAGTTTATTCTGTTATACCCCAGAGCTTCTGTATTTGTACTTTCATAAGCAAGGGCGGTATTGTAGATTAGTAACGCAATGCGATTAATTTTGTAACAGACGTACAAAACTCCTTAATTTCAAGGCGGATGCTTATTTTCGATTCTCATTCATTATTTAACGACTCATTGCTTTCAATTACAGCTTAAAAACTTGAGTCAGTACATCCAGTTTCTTTGATTACAGAGGGTAATTATATGTGACTGGTTCCCCTGGATTTTTTGGGAAATATTAATAACATTGATACTCTGTTGCAAAACAGGAGTTTAGGAGCAATAGTTTACTAATAAATTATTGCCTGCTCGCCTACATAAAAAACACGAGCAAAAAACAAAACAACACAAAATTCATGATAATATGCATCATGATTTGTGAGGTACACCAGATCTGTAGAGTTTAGTCTGTAGTAATAGAGCATGGGAGAACTTGATGAGAGGTTGTCTATGCAGAAGTATTTCCCCTTGAGTACTGCATGCAAGGTGAATTACTGGATTCCAGAAAGTAAAGTTTCTTACCTGGCTAAAGTGCTGTATTGGTCTGCTTACCTTTTTTGCAGGCATGTTGAAGTTCGCACCAATGCTCCACAGGGTTATGTCTTTACAATCAAAGTATCTGAAGATATGTCGCCAGGATCAGTTGGGTTTAGCCTAGTGCAGGTAACAGATTGACATCCCTTCATAGGTAGGGCATGATCAGTGTATGAATGTGCTACAAAACAAAACAAAAAAAAGACGGTGCTGTACATGTACTTTAAATTCCAGTACAGCATATATGTTTATTTTGTGGGAAAGGGACTGTGCCAAAATGATTACAGTGTGCTATCTCAGAATGGGAATGTAGCCTACACAATAGCAATAGGGATTCATTTGGGCATAAAAAATTTAACACTAGAGAACTGACAGATATAGCATACATGTATCTTTCCTTATAAAATTTTGCTCAGATCAGGGATGTATATGAAGCCTATAAATTGTAATTAAAGATATCTTATTCTAACTTGAAGGAAATCTGAATTGATCAAAATGAAATAAAAAAGTAAAATATAAATAATAAATAATGGTAATAAGACTGAGTCACGTTAACAAAATCAGATGACAGTGGGAGTCCGATTTGTTTGATCATGGGTATGATTATACAGACTGAATTGGACGATACCAAATTCTGTTATCAATTAATCATAACTAGAACAAAATTTGTGATGTTTTAGCCCTTTTGAAAATTAAAAAAACGCAAGAGATTTCAAGAGTTTTCTCGCTAGCAGGATAAAAAGCGATTTAAATGCTCGTGCAGTGGCGCATACTGTCCAATAACATAGGCATGACTTGTACTGCCCTATTACAGTGTTCTGTCAGTGCTGAAATCAGGACAGTTGATAGCCTATCAGATTTGTGAATTTAGTTATAGTTATGATTATAATAATGATGATGATAATAATAATAATAACAGTAATCAGCATGCAAAGAAAATGGTGTCCGATAGCCTGGGGCTGGTGGATTTTGCTATCGGGCTAGTGAATTCCGTTCTTAACTTGCCTGAAAGGGAAGCGATGTTTTTTGAGGAATTTGAATGACAGAAGAACTGTGGAATCAATTCTGCTCTTCAAAAAGCTTTTGGGGCTAGTTGAAATGATGCCAGGGCTAGTAAATGCTAGCTTCCGCTTGCTTAAATGGCAAGCTGTAAAAATGACTTTCTTTGCACCCTGAGTAATAATAATAATTAATAATAGTACATGAAAAAAAAACTGTATGATTCTCTGTTTCAGAGAAAATGGGCTGGTGTACAGTTGAACAGTTTCGTGGATGGTAAGTTTATTTGAGGAATTAACAGAAAACCTGAAGATTTTGCATGTTTCTTTTATGTTCTAAATATGTATCTTTTTAACTTGACCCATAAGGACAGACAATTCCAGTTTAGCCATGGTTGCATGTCTATGCTTTTATTCAGGTTCAAACTAGCAAATGTGCACATTTGATAAATTAAAAAAAACTAAATGTTGTCTTCAAAAGTTGTTAAAAAGCTTGATGTGTCAAGATTCTTCTCCACTCTTTAAATTCACTAGTTGACATTTGTGTACTTTTTGTGTTGTATTGTAGTTATTCCCTTTAGGTTTGGAGAGGGATCATTCTTGTCAAATGTGACAGTTGAAGCAGACTTCCTGCAGAAAGCAAGGTATGTCGAGAAGAGATTTTTAAGTAAGTCAAGCAGTTCATTAACAGGACTCATTATGCTTTGCTCTTAAGGAATCAGTACTTTTTTTTATCATGGAAATCTCAGTGCATTATTAATGGCAAATTGAAGTCATGGGTTTTTAGAATGTATTATTGTTTATCCAGCTCATCATACTTAGCTTCAGGTACTGTAAAGAATTAAGCAAACCATATTTTTCATTTTGGATTCCCTATCTTTGTGTTGTATAAATTACCATTACACTGTTTATCATCCTATCTTAGGGGCAACAATGATGCATATGACACAAACAAGATGGCAGAAGATTTCACACATCAGTTTCTGGACCAAGCTTTTTCTGTGGGGCAACAGGTACAGTTGCAGCGCTGGCAACTTTTTTCTGAAATAAGAGCATCACATGTAGATTTTTTTCACATTCTCACACCCTATCAGATTCAAAAGTAACTAAAGCGGCATTCCAGAAAGTTCTGAATATATCCTTACGGCTTTCTAAACTTGAAGATTTGGGTGAAAGCACAGTCAATCATCTAGGTTTTTGAGTCTCCTGTTGGTTCAAGCTAAAAATATTTTATGTTTATTTTCCAATAATTTGTCATTTAAGGCAGTTATTGCTCAAATGTTTCTGCCTGGTGTGAGGAATAATAGTTTGTCTTCAAGCGTGAGTTGGCAGAGGATCTATGTTGTATGTGATCTATTCTCAGTTGCATGCAAAGGGCTGTGCTACTCTGAGATTTTAATTTAGTGTAATATACTTACTTACAAATGTACCTCACAAAATGTTCTTTTATTTTTGGGGTAGGCTGTGTTTTCTTTCCAAGACAAGAAGTATCTTGTGTTTGTAGTAAAGAGCATGGAAGGTTAGTCACACAATAAACTAGTAATAAATACATAAACGGTAGATTGTAAATTAGCTTTGTGCAAATCATGGATTGTAAATTATCGTTAATGGAAAACATTAAGTGATGTGATCATCAATAAAAAATATGTGTAATGTCCTATTAGTTATCATGGAAGAATGAAAATGTTGTTTTAATATAAGGTTAACACGTACATGTTTGTTTGTTTGTTTGTTTTTATGAATTTTAATTTAGCTACATGTATATCTGTTACAGGTCAAATTTGATTTCAGGTCAATTTTGATTTAACCTAGGTTGATTCTTAATTTCCTTTGTCTCCTAGTCCTAATAATTCATGAATTAGGACTAGGAGACAAAGGAAATTGAGAATCAACCTAGGTTACAAATTTAACCTTAAGTCAAATTTGACCTGTAACATATCCATTAATGATACTTTTCTGATACAAGTTTGTACTTTTTTGTCATGTTGTAAAACACCGCCTGAAGGCTGTATCTACAGATTGAGTAGATTTCACTCTATTTCTTTTGTTTCTTTCAAAATTTTAATGATTCCATTAGTATAACATCACATTAGTATAAGTGGTCCACAGTCAAAAAGCTGAAAACTTTATATTACTTTCATTTAGGTGAAAAAAAAGGATGACTGGAACAATTAACCCACACTACATTGAAACTAAAACAAAGAAAGATAGATCAATAACTACAGTCGGAAGAACCACCACGTTTTCGTTTTGGGAGAGTTCCTTGTTTAGTAAACTGTTGCTTCTTACCTCTTAATGAGTTAAATGGGGTTCAATGTGATTAAAAGACGGCAAACTGCTCAGCTTGAACGATTGAGTTATTGTTTCACACAGCAGGTTTACGTACATATTGCTCTGTGCATCCACTAGCTTCCATCACCTATTTACCTTTTGTGCAAATAGTAAATTAGATAATTGACCAAACAGAGTGCACTTTACATCAATTGTATTATGGTATAAATTAACTTGGTTAATAACTTTCCTATGCAGTTATCTGTGCTAGCAGTTTTACTCTCACTGCTCAATATTATGTGCTGTTGCATTTTGATAAATGTCATGTTGTTTTGGTGCTTTTCTTTCCCTCCTTATCCTCTCAGCATTTTGTTGTTTGGTTCCTTATTTTCCTGTAGGTTTCCATGGGAATGATAACAAGAAATACCCAGGTTCTGTTTGAACGGGCAGAGGTAATCACTCACAACAATTCACAGTTGGCAATGCACAAAATCTTACATGATGTTCTGACTGTTGGTTGTTACTGTAATTTTTGTTTGGTTTGGTTTTTTTATGGTGGTGAGAAATGTTTGCATTACTGTAGACCTAGCAAATTGGGTAGCACCCTTTCCTTCTCAATTGAATCACGTTATTGTCTCTCTTTTTCAGGGATCAGTGCTTAATCTCACTGGTACTGCAAAGGGGTGAGTACAGTGTAGTGTACATGTACTCTTCTCCACTGGGTAATTGAGTTCTAAAGCTTCCCTGAAATGTTCCAAAAATATTATACCTGTATGGCAACTTAAGATGTAAAGATGTTAGCTGATACACTAAAATGGGCATGAAGAGCCAAGTTGCAACTTTTGTCACTTTCCAGCTTATTAATTTCACTTTCCATAAAATTCCGCAAATTTTGTTTTATAGAAATAAAATGTCAGAAAAGACCATTCAGTTCACTCTGACCAGAATATTTGAGGTCAGCTTTGAAGGTGGTCCACTTTGACTAGTCTGGTTATTTTTGCAGGTCAGACCAAAATGTCCCTTTCAATTTGTCAAAACTGTTGTCCCCAGTACTGCTCTTCTGTATCCTACTGACAATTACTGTGTGCAATAGCCAAATGCGCAGTGGCTTGGGTTGGGTCTGTACAACAGGAATGTAGGTGATCCACTTGGCAGATGGAAATTCAAAATTTCAAACAAAATTTTTGCTGAATGGAAAGCACCCTTTGTGTACAGTCATGTATCAGTCCAGACCAATCCACTTGTAAAGAGAATTTCACTGATATCCAGCCAGATCACTGTATTCCTTAGTCTCCCTCGCAGCCGTTTTTGTCTTGTCACACAATGAGCACTTTGTTGCGTGACAAGAATAAAAAGGTTGTGAGGGAGACTATCTTTTCCTAACAAAATAGTTGAACCTCTCTACAACGGCTACCTTGGGAATAGAAGAAAGTGGCCGTTGTAAAGAGGTGGCCATTGTTGAGAGGTTTTAAACAAGAGTCAATGTATGGATTTTTTATTCGCCGTTGTAGAGAGGTGGCCATTAGCAGAGGCGTGACTGTAGTATAATTATTGACAGTAAAAGGTTTTTGCAAAAACTATTGAAAAAGGCTACACTGTATTTCTTTTTCAAAAAATATTCTGTCAAGCTGGCCAGTTCAAATGTTTAATAAGCACCTAAACTTACAGTTCAGTCAGACTGGCCATAATGTTACTATTATGTTCTTTAAATTTTAGAAAAGCTGCGACACAGTCCATCATAAGCAGAGATTGGGATTTCACAAAGCTGGGAATTGGAGGTCTTGACAAGGTAATTAAACTGCTGAGCAGTATGAAATTATTTTTTTTGTGTGTTCACAGTCCTGGACCATCATCTTGAAGATGTGAGGAGGAAAGAGCTCCAACAAACTTCTGATAAATTGCTCTATTATTAATTTGCTTTTGAAACAAAACAAGATTTTGACATTTCATCAGGAGTAACTAACAATGTTGTTGCGGACACCCCCTCATTTTGTGTCCTACTCCTTTCTAAGACTAAGACAAACTTTTTTATTCTTTGCTTTCTGCAGTTACACAAAGATTGTACATATATGTACTCCTTTGTCTTCATTTCATTTATATTTAGCCCAAGCTATTCAAAAGCTGGATAGCGCTTTGCATCAAATGAGGCTCTACAGCTGTATTTTGCAAACCAATTGTGGTATACATGTATATTGGATAGAGATTTTATGAAGTGGATAGCGGCTGCGCTCTCCACCTTTTCAACAACTGAGGCCTGGTTATGAAAAAATAACAAAATTTTTTTGTACCCAGTTTTGAAAGTGGAATTTAACATCGATTTCTGTTGATGCTCTTTTAACCAGGAATTCTCTAACATCATAAGAAGAGCTTTTGCAACACGTCTTTTTCCCCCAGAAGTTGTGGACAAGCTAGGTATATTTTTTTTCCTGTTGCTCTTTCTAGTCGCATAGCAGCCTTACAGTCTTGTCTGTTATCTGGTCAATATTCTTTTTTTTTTTCAATAATATTAGTTAGCATGACAGGTGTGCAGCAGCTCAGTTTGGAGGCTCACAGCTGGGTGTGTGTTCCTTTTTTTTTTTTTTTGTTTGGTAGTACTCTCCAAAGGCAGGGCTATCATTACTGGCCTGTAGTTAATATTTTTAGTGAACTAAGTACTACATTAAATTCAGCTGACTACTCTAAGTTTCAAAAGAAGTCAAACATAAGTATTCTGAGAATTTGTAGGACAAATGATGGTCTTATTTTGCAGACTATGCCAGGTCATTATGTAGTGAACGTTTTCAGCCGCTGACCAAAATGATAATCAGTTCTAATTATAAATGAACATCACAAGGACCTGTAAACACAGCTCTGATGCCAATAACCAGTTAACACAATGGCAACAAGTAACTTTGAATGTGTGTATTATCTCATAGGTCTGAGGCATGTGAAAGGAATTCTTTTGTATGGTCCTCCAGGTATGACGGAATGTTCACTGTGCGCGCTGCCGCACCACATTTTAAAAAATTCAGCCCCTAGAGACAATGTGTGTAACCAGGGTGGATGTTGAAAGAAAAAGATTGACTTGTAGCTCCAAGACGTGATGATTTATTGCTAGCCTTAAACCTACTTTATCTAAAAAAACAACAACAAGAACAAAAAAAGCAGCATCAACGATGACAACAAAGTTAACACTATGGAAAGAACACTGTTCGGGAAATGAGACCTTGAAAACTGGACCAAAGAAAACGTCTGCTAGAAAGTTCACATTTCCTTTTATAAAATCAGAAGAAAGAAATGGTACCACGCAAAAGCTCTGCCAAAAAGATTTCATTTTAAAGGTAGCACGGGATTTTGTCCACAGATTTACAAGTTAGAGTGTCTCTCCATAACGTGTTCTAGGATTGAAAGGTTTAAGGTATTGTTTTTTTCAGGTACTGGTAAGACATTGATGGCTCGACAAATTGGAAAGATGTTAAACACAAGAGAACCCAAAATAATCAGTGGACCAGGTAATGAATTTAATCAGAATATTCAAGTAGCCTGTGTATACGTAGCAAGCGTTTCTGCACAAGTTCGTTGAGAAAGTTGGAACGAGAGCGAAACTTTTGGGCAATACCGATTTCGTCGGAAATGCTTGCTACAGAAGCTATCGAAAGATAACAATATCAGTATTAATGTTATGTATTAATCTTACAATGTAATCCATTGATGCCTTATAAGTCCTAGAATTTATTTTGACCCATTTGATGTTCGCTCTGTTCATTGTTCTTGAAAATCCTAATTTAGCTTCACGTTTTTTTTTCAGAGGTGCTGAATAAATATGTTGGAGAGTCCGAAGCAAATATAAGGTCGGTCGAGCAACGAGTATTCAAAAATTGTTTTACTGATTTATAAAAAAAAAAGGCTTACGGCGTTTGTACGTAGATGGGATATGCTCCGTCGCGAAGGAAGCTTCTTGCTTTAAATAATCTTCTTTTCATGTACTCTTTGCCGCTGATAATAAATATCTTTATATTTTTATTCACCATGCCAGAATTTTTGTTAGTTTTCATCTACCATTGCTCCTCAATTGTGATTATCGTGAATACTAGAACACCCTTTTTTATCATTCTTCATTTTAGAAAATTATTTGCTGAAGCAGAAGAAGAGCAGAGAAAGGTTTGTTTGCTTCGGGAAAATGTATACTGTAATTTTAAAACTCTTAATCTCAGAGTTGGGGAACAATTATTTTTTTTGTTAGATGGCATGTGACCACAAAGTAACCAATGGGAGAGCGTGCTGTCAGGGAAAAAATATTCCAGCCAGATAACAAAGAAATCGATATCTGTACTCTCAACAACGATGACAGCATTGGTATCTGACATTTTATGAAGAAAGTGTTCTTTTTTTTGTAGCCTGTTCCAGGCGTCGTGTCCGCGAAATTACGAACCTTAAGCAAGGACAACGACGACGGCAGTGGAAACATGTAAAACAATGAATTTGCTTTCTTTCAAACTTAATCGCGTCTATTTGGACCCGCTCAATATGTCAAATGAAGGCGACTATTCCTGGAGTTGAATTCTTAAGGATTTTATTCAGGTTAAAAAAGAGGAAGGAAATTTCGTCGTCGTATGTCCACGTCCTCCGTAAAACGTCAAATTAGGAGGTTTCACGTCGTAGTCGTGCAGTGGACGTCAAAGAAATGTACTAAAAAGCGTGACGCACGTGCAGAGCAGTTGTTTTGATCATTAAACCTATTGTTGTTTTGAAGTCGTCGTTGTGGTCGTCGTCGTAGTTGATTAAGCTCCTTATATTGAGAAAGCGCGGACACGAAAATAAAACGGGAGGGAACTGGGGAGAGGAAAGTCGGCGGATTTCCTTTTTCCCGCCACCGCCATTCTGAACCACCGCCACCGTTTCCCAGATCACGCGCTTATATTTTCGCGTGTCTTTCTTTCACTTACGCGTCATCCCTACTATCTGAGAGCCTGGAACAGGCTATGATTCTTGTTGTTCTCTCGGTCATAGTGCTTTCATCCTCTCCTTTGATTTTTCAGTTCAGTGATAGCAGCGGCCTCCATCTCATCATCTTTGACGAGTTTGATGCGGTGTGCAAGTCAAGATATATGTATAATGTAAGTACACGACTTTGTGAGTGATTTTTATACCATTTGCAGTTTTAGTGTTAAGAAGTTTCTGTCACTGTTGTTTATGCGCCTTATACGGTGGTAACTTACCTCTCTTTTAATTTCCTTGTAGAGTGGCGGCACAGGCGTTCAAGACTCAGTTGTCAATCAACTTCTGGCTAAGGTAAAATCGTTGAAGAATTTATTTTCTTTGGTGTAGGCCTTAACTGTACCATGGTCGGGTGGCAATGATGTTTGCAAATTCTTCGACCTATTCACCATATTGTTTAGTGCAACTAGTGTAACTACCGGAACATTGTGGTGCATATTACCATTGACTTTTGTCCACACGAAACCGGAAAGGTTTGAACCCGCGTATCTTTTTTACCCGCGGCGTCGTGTGGACAGGGCCCTTAAACCACATTGGAGAGAAGTCCAAAAAGATGTGGTTTCGGTGAACAGATTTACTGATTTCGTGTGGACAGAAAGCTAATTCCTGTATGTCCGGATTCGTACAGGTGGACGGGGCCTAAGTGTTCTGCAAATCCCTACAGTGGAACTTCGATACAACGAATCTCTGTATAACGAAGTCCTCGGTAGAACCAACGATTTTCTTTACGCTAGTAATATATAGTAAAATATATGAAAAAAAAAACTCGATATAGCGAATAAATTTTGCCAGTGCCTTGGCCCTTCGGTATATCGAGGTTCTACTTTAGATTCAAAACTGTTTCACCGAGTTAGTTTGATTTGGTGTTGGTTGGACATGCTTTAGCTTTATTATTTAACGTCTCTTTAGATCGATGGTGTGGAGCAACTCAACAACGTGCTTCTGATTGGTAAGAATTAGTTGACGATTCGCATAATTGAAATTACTGATTCTTGGTTACTGATTCCGGGACAACTTGCTACACACTGTAGGATGGGATATGTACGGGCAAGGCCTTTTAAAAGTTTAGAACAAGAACAGGAAGTCTCATTGTTACTTTCCGTTACCAAATTAGTTCTAAGCATTTGAATTTCCTCATAGTTACTGGCCAGAAAATAGGAAGTGCGGAAAATTGAATGCAAGATTTGTATGTATTGAAAAGCCTAGTTCCCCACACAGCCTCCAATTGGGAGCGTAAGCATCTAAGACGGCGACGACTACAAAAACGTCATTTAAACAGTGAATTCGCGCTGCCTCAAACTTTATCGCGCTTGTTTCATCTCGTTTAATTCGTCAAATCAACCGTTGAAAAAAACCTCCACTTAAGATTTCCTGAGATAGTTACACGTTCTTTTCTTTTTCTTTCACCAGCAGAAGACAAGGACAGGCGGTTTTTTGCACTTTAATCCATGAAAGTGCAGCGTCAGCACTAACGACGGCTCAGAAATGTACAAAAAAGCGTGATGCACGTGCAAAGTTGTTGTTTTGCCAATCTGAACCTATTGCTTTTTTGTCGTTCTAGTTGCCGTTGCCGTCGTCGTCGTTGCTTAAAGGGACAGATTCACGGTTCAGCGCACGCTCATTAATTAAATTACGTTTTTCCAATTTATTATTAATTCTATCGGTTAATAATCCCACTCACATGTATGTCAGCGATCTCAGAGTGTATTTCAAAGTAGAAGTGTATTTCAGAGTAATGTGCAGTAGGATGGAGGAGTGCTAAAATCGCAGAAAAATTAGTGGATTATGCCAACACTACCAACGTTGAGTTTTTTGTTGACCCGGGGGTTTTATTCCATGGTTGATTAATTTACAGCTATTTGTACCCAAGTTGATCAAGTGACTGCCTGGGGAGTGTGCACATTGGTTCTTTGACAACATTACGACATGATCATATTGCTTTCGTAGGCGATACAGCATGTCGCGGCCGGAAAATAGCATTTTGATTCACGAGCATGCGCTGAACCGTGCACCTGTCCCTTTAAGTTCTCTATTGTGTCGTTACGCAACGCTGCTCTCCACTGAAATGTTGCGTCCAGGAGACTCAAAATAGAACCCTTGCAAAGGTGTTTGAGAAAGTCAAGAGGTGACAAGTATAGAATTTGCTGAAAGCTGGATTTTGTTGGCCCAATCCATTTTAAGGCCCAGAAATTCAAGTTGTGGCACGTGCTTTACAAGATAGTTTTGCTTTTACTTCAAGGTATGACAAACAGGAGGGATCTTATTGATGATGCACTGCTTCGACCTGGTCGACTGGAAGTGCAAGTTGAAATAGGTGAGATTCTACATAAATTTTAATAGAGAGAAGAAGTGTTTACGTCACTTTGCCATGGTAGCAAAATGTCGGGATCTCAGCCAACAGTGGTCCTTCAAATATGGCAGAAAAAAGAATTGACATGACTGTATGACTTTCTTGTGCATGACTGCACTTAAAAACAGGACGGTAGCCCATACTTTTCTTCCATCGTTCGACAATGCAAATGACCGTCTCTGTCAAGAAAGGTTGTCGAGATCCAGAATTCTTGCTACCCACGGTACTACCCACGGTAGCGTGACCTCTCACTACCCCTCTCTATTGGCTCTCTTGTCATGGTTAACTCAGTAAGATCACGCGAAAATTAAATTCGCCTTGCATGCAGCATTGCATACTACTGATACTTTAAGTAATGTATGCTAACGAATTATGCCAGCTGCCGCAAAAAGAGTCCGTGAAGACGTATTTCTTTATTGCGTACACTGACATTGGATCAATTTAAGGTTTCTGGGAAACTGTCTACCTACCCCTCCCCTAAGCCAACATTTTGCCTTAAGTGAGAAGTGAGTGATAATGTTGGCTTAGGGGAGGGGTAGGTGGGCAGTTTCCCAGAAACCTAAAAAATTCATCCCTGATTTTAATGCATAATGAGTTCTTTATAGGCCTAAAAGCGGATTATAGTTAGTGAATATGAAAATGTTTGTGTTTGTTTGCGGGCGTTCTATCATTTATTTAAAAGTTGCATAGGTTTTCTCTCTGTTTTTATGCAGTAGTATGTATTGCTGTTGGAAAAATACGAGATTGCACACATTTTTGTTTGTCTGGCCAATGTGTAATATTCCTTATTGAAATAGAGGATCGACAGGGCATATTCTTTATAGTGAGCGAGGTGTTGTTTCTCCGTGTTTTTATAACGCTGTTTGTTGACCAGGCTTGCCAGATGAGGCTGGACGAGTTCAAATCCTGGAGATACACACAGCTAAGATGAGAGAAAATAATCTCCTTGCACCAGATGTCGACCTGGCTGATTTGGCCGTGCAGACTAAGAACTTTACCGGTGCAGAGATTGAAGGACTTGTTCGCGCAGCGCAGTCCACAGCTATGAATCGCTTCATCCAGGTACAGTAAAAGGAGAGTGCACTGATTTGCTGACTACCACCGAACGAGTTTGAGTTAAGAAAAAATAAATCAAGGAAGCTACCCTAGATACTTTTTGTTTGAAAGCGTGCCCCTATTCTTCATATAGTTTACCGAGCGAGGAATGTTAAGAGTCGTGCGGGGTAAACATGCGGTCAAGTAGTTTCGGGGAATAGTGTTGGACTTTAAGGAACATTGCAATGGTGACAAATGTGATTAAGACGGAATCCACGAGGAAATTGAGTAATTTAATTTTCAGTGGACAAAAACCTTGTACCAGAATAATTTAAAGAATACTGAATTTTTTTTTACATTTTTCAAGGGCTTAAGATGTAATAAATCATCTGTAGTAACACCAACGAAAATTTCTCTTGGAAGTCCGAGAAAACTGAATGTCAAATTTCACAAGAATTGTGATTACACAGGTAAAATTCTGAAAATTTCATGTGCAAGATGTAATTCAGTGAAATATGACATTCATTTTCTCGGGATCCTATGAGAAATATTCCAACTTCTACCTTTTAACTCATTAAGCCCCAGATATCCACGAACACTTTTGGTCCTAAAAGGATAAAAAAAAAACCAAGTTCGATGCCACAGCCAACACGGTAAAGTCAACTCTTTCTGAGACGGACGCCTTGGGGACCTGCAGTATGTGTCCGTCTTAGAGAGGTGTCCGTCTTATAGAGAGTCAAATAGAGGGAGTAAAGAAAGGCAGGGACCAACTCTGAGTGTCCGTTTTGCAGAGGTGTCCGTTATGAGAGAGTAGACTGAATTTCAATTTCTTCTGTTTTGGTTTTTTCAGCTTAAAAACAATTTCGAAATTGATCCTGAAGCTGTGGAAAAAATTTTGATAAGACGTGAGGACTTCTATCACGCCCTGGAGCACGACATCAAACCGGTAAGTAAAGCAAGCTTTCTGTTTACTGCAAAAGGCAAAGGAAAATCCTCAATCCTATGATTGGCTTTTTAACATAACAAGTCATGCAAGGATAATTGAACAGTGCGCGTCATTTCGCTCTGTAAAAGGGCAGTTGTACTTTGATGATGATGATGATGATGATTTTTTCCTACTTGTGCGTATTCCATTCGTCATTCGTCAAATTTACTTTTATGGCGTACTACATATTACATTTTACATACGTTCGTACCCCCTAGTTGCAAAAAAAAGGAAAATGTTCCGTTCTATTTTGTGCGCGTAAAAAATCACTCAATCCAAATCTATTCGTCACTCTTACAATCCAAATTCTTCTGTCCTTTAAGCCGTTTCCTTTTTCTTTTGCTTTAGGCGTTTGGACCTGCTGATGACAATCTGGACCTGTATGTTGCAAATGGTGAGTGGTGAAGGTGTGCCTTGTGGTGGGGGGTGGAGTGTGTGTGTGTGTGGGGGAGGGGGAGGGGGCAGGGCGGAGTGGTGTCTATAACTATATCATGTTATGTATGTATGTTATGTTCTCCAAGAGATATCCATTAAGCTGGGCTACATACGCAGTTAATGAGGGAGGCTAATGTCGCAGCCATTCCGCCAGGCCGTTTTATCACTTCGCTTGCTGAAAACATGGATAAAACTGCCCTGGGAGTGCCTTAGGTCCTGAGAAAAAAGCTGACATTTGGCAACGTCACCTCTGGTTTCCCCGCGAAATGATGTCTGAGAAACGCGCGCAGAAATTGCATAGTGATGACGCGCCACTACCCAGATCTGGGTAGTACTTCTGATTGTGATCGTGCCGCTAGAGAAATTTGCTTCTACAGCACTACCCAGATCTGGGTAATGACTCGTCATCAGTATGCAGGGGTTTCAATAAGCACCGACGGCCGACAAAACACATCGGCTACTTTGCTCATAGAGGTCGGCCACTTTTTCTAGAAAGAAGAAGCAACTAGTTTGAATAACGTTGGAAACCAAAAATATATCATAAAAACTGAATGAAAACGTAATTATCATGTGTTTTCAAAAAGTCCCAATAGTTTTACGTTATGCGTTAGCCATGTGAACGCTATATTTCAGTCATTTTTTTCACAAGTTTCTTTATAGGTTTACGCAGAATTTTTTTACGTGCATAAGCGCTTAATTTATTTTTCATCATTTTTTCATTGCTTGTAGGAATTGATTGTGTTTTGTGATAAATTGAAAGTTATTTTTTTTTTGGCTCCTTCGTCCTCAAATTTAGTCGCCAGAACGCTGAAAATCGTATTTTAGGACTTTGAAATTTCAAAATGTTCTGGGGTAGAACGCACGCAGACCCCCTCCCCCTAAAAAAAGGGAACTAACGGCCCCTTCTTGATACAGTCGGTTAGTCTATTCAAACCTGCTGGCTACTTCAACTTTTATTGAAACCCCTGCAGTATGGAATTTCTGCAGTCGTTACGCCGACGTCATTTGGCGGGGAAACCGTCACGAAATGTCGGCTGCTTTTTCATTCCATTAATCAGTGCGATGAAGGTCGGGTTGCTAGATTTCTGCTTAATCAGTCCTTTTCTTCGATTTTCAGGAATTGTTCGCTGGGGAAACGAAATACAAAGGATTTTAGATGATGGCAGGTTATTATTACAGCAGACAAGAGCGCAAGACATTACTTCACCAATAACAGTTTTACTTGAAGGTTGGTATCAGCTTTTTTATTGACTGAGGTGAAAATGGCGACAAGGGGAACCAAGACGAGGTTGTCCGACAGATTTTCCTTTTACCAGCCCATGCATCGAAAGCTGAATTCGGATTTTAATCGATCATCATGATTGCAGTAGACACGATAGCAATAACTGTCAAAAATAAGGGCGACAAAGTTGGATTTTGTTCTTACAGACAGAGCTTACGTGTATTTTGGGGATCATTTGTCTTCAAGAAGGGAGGCGTATCATCTGTCATTTAATCATTGATTTCAAGGGTAAAGCGGATTTGAACTCACTATCGTATCTGCATCAGGATTTAAGGGTAATGGGTGGACATTGAAGGGAACGGCAGCAACCGCCCGCTCGCCGAGTGGATCCTATCCTGTGTCGCGAAGTAATTTAACCCCGGTTAGTAACGTCTGGGAAGCAGCGCCCATATGCTTGTTCTGGGGCCCTAACGGACTAAATGAATTAACGGAAATGCGTCTAGAATTTCCTTTAATTCTGACTGGCCCCAAACGGACTAAATGAATTACCGGAAATGCGTTTTGAATTTTCTTTAATTCTGATTGGCCCCAAACGGACTAAATGAATTACCGGAAATGCGTTATGAATTTCCTTTAATTCTGATAAGCAACAAATCGTGAATGGCTTTTTTAGCAGGCCAATTATGGCACGTACTCAAATGTTGGTACGCCGGTGTGGGCCCAAAACACGGATTTCGGCGCTGTTTCGCAGACGGGCTTCCCCAGAGTTAATTTTCGTTTGTGGCGCAGGCTAAGTCGACCCCAGCGATCGTCAAGAGAGCTTGCTCACAGCGTAACAGAAGGCAAGTTATTGAAACTTCTCATTGTGTTGTCTTTTGTTGGTTTTAGGCCCTGTGGGTTGCGGCAAAACAGCACTGGCTGTACAGATGGCGCTCATGTCAGACTTCCCGTTCATCAAGATGTGCACACCGGAAAACATGATTGGATTTATTGAGAGTGCGAAATGTCAAACCATTAAAAAGGTGAGTTTTTGTTTTTATAACGCTGTTTGTTGACCAGGCTTGCCAGATGAGGCTGGACGAGTTCAAATCCTGGAGATACACACAGCTAAGATGAGAGAAAATAATCTCCTTGCACCAGATGTCGACCTGGCTGATTTGGCCGTGCAGACTAAGAACTTTACCGGTGCAGAGATTGAAGGACTTGTTCGCGCAGCGCAGTCCACAGCTATGAATCGCTTCATCCAGGTACAGTAAAAGGAGAGTGCACTGATTTGCTGACTACCACCGAACGAGTTTGAGTTAAGAAAAAATAAATCAAGGAAGCTACCCTAGATACTTTTTGTTTGAAAGCGTGCCCCTATTCTTCATATAGTTTACCGAGCGAGGAATGTTAAGAGTCGTGCGGGGTAAACATGCGGTCAAGTAGTTTCGGGGAATAGTGTTGGACTTTAAGGAACATTGCAATGGTGACAAATGTGATTAAGACGGAATCCACGAGGAAATTGAGTAATTTAATTTTCAGTGGACAAAAACCTTGTACCAGAATAATTTAAAGAATACTGAATTTTTTTTTACATTTTTCAAGGGCTTAAGATGTAATAAATCATCTGTAGTAACACCAACGAAAATTTCTCTTGGAAGTCCGAGAAAACTGAATGTCAAATTTCACAAGAATTGTGATTACACAGGTAAAATTCTGAAAATTTCATGTGCAAGATGTAATTCAGTGAAATATGACATTCATTTTCTCGGGATCCTATGAGAAATATTCCAACTTCTACCTTTTAACTCATTAAGCCCCAGATATCCACGAACACTTTTGGTCCTAAAAGGATAAAAAAAAAACCAAGTTCGATGCCACAGCCAACACGGTAAAGTCAACTCTTTCTGAGACGGACGCCTTGGGGACCTGCAGTATGTGTCCGTCTTAGAGAGGTGTCCGTCTTATAGAGAGTCAAATAGAGGGAGTAAAGAAAGGCAGGGACCAACTCTGAGTGTCCGTTTTGCAGAGGTGTCCGTTATGAGAGAGTAGACTGAATTTCAATTTCTTCTGTTTTGGTTTTTTCAGCTTAAAAACAATTTCGAAATTGATCCTGAAGCTGTGGAAAAAATTTTGATAAGACGTGAGGACTTCTATCACGCCCTGGAGCACGACATCAAACCGGTAAGTAAAGCAAGCTTTCTGTTTACTGCAAAAGGCAAAGGAAAATCCTCAATCCTATGATTGGCTTTTTAACATAACAAGTCATGCAAGGATAATTGAACAGTGCGCGTCATTTCGCTCTGTAAAAGGGCAGTTGTACTTTGATGATGATGATGATGATGATTTTTTCCTACTTGTGCGTATTCCATTCGTCATTCGTCAAATTTACTTTTATGGCGTACTACATATTACATTTTACATACGTTCGTACCCCCTAGTTGCAAAAAAAAGGAAAATGTTCCGTTCTATTTTGTGCGCGTAAAAAATCACTCAATCCAAATCTATTCGTCACTCTTACAATCCAAATTCTTCTGTCCTTTAAGCCGTTTCCTTTTTCTTTTGCTTTAGGCGTTTGGACCTGCTGATGACAATCTGGACCTGTATGTTGCAAATGGTGAGTGGTGAAGGTGTGCCTTGTGGTGGGGGGTGGAGTGTGTGTGTGTGTGGGGGAGGGGGAGGGGGCAGGGCGGAGTGGTGTCTATAACTATATCATGTTATGTATGTATGTTATGTTCTCCAAGAGATATCCATTAAGCTGGGCTACATACGCAGTTAATGAGGGAGGCTAATGTCGCAGCCATTCCGCCAGGCCGTTTTATCACTTCGCTTGCTGAAAACATGGATAAAACTGCCCTGGGAGTGCCTTAGGTCCTGAGAAAAAAGCTGACATTTGGCAACGTCACCTCTGGTTTCCCCGCGAAATGATGTCTGAGAAACGCGCGCAGAAATTGCATAGTGATGACGCGCCACTACCCAGATCTGGGTAGTACTTCTGATTGTGATCGTGCCGCTAGAGAAATTTGCTTCTACAGCACTACCCAGATCTGGGTAATGACTCGTCATCAGTATGCAGGGGTTTCAATAAGCACCGACGGCCGACAAAACACATCGGCTACTTTGCTCATAGAGGTCGGCCACTTTTTCTAGAAAGAAGAAGCAACTAGTTTGAATAACGTTGGAAACCAAAAATATATCATAAAAACTGAATGAAAACGTAATTATCATGTGTTTTCAAAAAGTCCCAATAGTTTTACGTTATGCGTTAGCCATGTGAACGCTATATTTCAGTCATTTTTTTCACAAGTTTCTTTATAGGTTTACGCAGAATTTTTTTACGTGCATAAGCGCTTAATTTATTTTTCATCATTTTTTCATTGCTTGTAGGAATTGATTGTGTTTTGTGATAAATTGAAAGTTATTTTTTTTTTGGCTCCTTCGTCCTCAAATTTAGTCGCCAGAACGCTGAAAATCGTATTTTAGGACTTTGAAATTTCAAAATGTTCTGGGGTAGAACGCACGCAGACCCCCTCCCCCTAAAAAAAGGGAACTAACGGCCCCTTCTTGATACAGTCGGTTAGTCTATTCAAACCTGCTGGCTACTTCAACTTTTATTGAAACCCCTGCAGTATGGAATTTCTGCAGTCGTTACGCCGACGTCATTTGGCGGGGAAACCGTCACGAAATGTCGGCTGCTTTTTCATTCCATTAATCAGTGCGATGAAGGTCGGGTTGCTAGATTTCTGCTTAATCAGTCCTTTTCTTCGATTTTCAGGAATTGTTCGCTGGGGAAACGAAATACAAAGGATTTTAGATGATGGCAGGTTATTATTACAGCAGACAAGAGCGCAAGACATTACTTCACCAATAACAGTTTTACTTGAAGGTTGGTATCAGCTTTTTTATTGACTGAGGTGAAAATGGCGACAAGGGGAACCAAGACGAGGTTGTCCGACAGATTTTCCTTTTACCAGCCCATGCATCGAAAGCTGAATTCGGATTTTAATCGATCATCATGATTGCAGTAGACACGATAGCAATAACTGTCAAAAATAAGGGCGACAAAGTTGGATTTTGTTCTTACAGACAGAGCTTACGTGTATTTTGGGGATCATTTGTCTTCAAGAAGGGAGGCGTATCATCTGTCATTTAATCATTGATTTCAAGGGTAAAGCGGATTTGAACTCACTATCGTATCTGCATCAGGATTTAAGGGTAATGGGTGGACATTGAAGGGAACGGCAGCAACCGCCCGCTCGCCGAGTGGATCCTATCCTGTGTCGCGAAGTAATTTAACCCCGGTTAGTAACGTCTGGGAAGCAGCGCCCATATGCTTGTTCTGGGGCCCTAACGGACTAAATGAATTAACGGAAATGCGTCTAGAATTTCCTTTAATTCTGACTGGCCCCAAACGGACTAAATGAATTACCGGAAATGCGTTTTGAATTTTCTTTAATTCTGATTGGCCCCAAACGGACTAAATGAATTACCGGAAATGCGTTATGAATTTCCTTTAATTCTGATAAGCAACAAATCGTGAATGGCTTTTTTAGCAGGCCAATTATGGCACGTACTCAAATGTTGGTACGCCGGTGTGGGCCCAAAACACGGATTTCGGCGCTGTTTCGCAGACGGGCTTCCCCAGAGTTAATTTTCGTTTGTGGCGCAGGCTAAGTCGACCCCAGCGATCGTCAAGAGAGCTTGCTCACAGCGTAACAGAAGGCAAGTTATTGAAACTTCTCATTGTGTTGTCTTTTGTTGGTTTTAGGCCCTGTGGGTTGCGGCAAAACAGCACTGGCTGTACAGATGGCGCTCATGTCAGACTTCCCGTTCATCAAGATGTGCACACCGGAAAACATGATTGGATTTATTGAGAGTGCGAAATGTCAAACCATTAAAAAGGTGAGTTTATTGCCTTCTATTTAACCGTGGTATTTTAGCTCAATTGGTAGAGCCCGGATCTGCACAGCAGGATCGCGGGTTCGATTCTCGGAACCGAACCAGTACTCTGGTAGCTGGTTAGCGCTAACCCGGGGTTCGTTTTCTTCTACTGAAAAGCTCTCACTCGGATAATTTTCTCTATTCTTTTTAGAGTACCCAATCATCAAATTGTAGGCAAAGAGAATTTAACTGAATTTGCTTTTTAAGCTCCCATATCTGAGGTCAAATTTCGCACGAACCCTGGGTTACCTTAACCCAGCTTCGAACAACCCGGCCCAGGGGCTCGTTTCTCGAAAGTCCCGATAATTAACGGGCCCGGTAAGCTGTCACCGTTTGCATTAAAGATCGAGGTTCAATAGTTTTGCATCTAGCATGATAAAACCATCACTTAGTGAAACAAAATGGAGTAGTCTGCTAGCTGGGACCCGCGCTCTTATTCTTTGTATTTCGATTTGAATATTTGACTTCGGGCCCGAAAAGTTACCGGGACTTTCGAGAAACGGGCCTCAGGTTCTTAACCCTTTAAGCCCTAAGAGTGATCAGCATACTTATATACATACATAATCTTCATTTAAACACGGTGATTTTTAAAGCTATAAAAGCTTGTGGGGTCGTGTATTTAAGAATTAAATTAACTTAAACTAGATCAAAACTTACATACAAATCTCTCCTCGTAATATCAATGCTTTGTAAAACTGAGAGCGGTCACGAGAATTACGGACTCATGATCAGTCAAGATGAATTTGCTTGATATTTATCAACTTCTCCCGACTACTTCAGTCTGTAGGAAATGAATAGCGGCAACAAATGAGAATTCAGACTTCGATCTTAGGGTTTAAAAGGGTTAGAGCGGTTTTCATTTGAGTGTCGAAAAGTAATTGGTTTTGCACTTTCTACACGATGCGATTGGCTTAAAAGATTCGCGCCACCTTTTCATCCAATCAGAAGTAAAACCAAAGCCAATTGTGACGCGCTCGCATGCATTTTCCCGCGCTTTGCGTCAGCCACATGTAATTACTTCGAGTTTTGATTGGTTCAATGTATTGTCTGTGTCCTATGTGATTGGCCAGAGTAATTACTTTGGTTTTGGTTTTACGACACTCAAACGAAAACCACTCTAAAATAGAGACCCTTTCATTCTCAATACTAAGTAGTGCGCGCGTGAACCAGCGTCTTTGGCGGGAAAATGCAATAGCCGTCCTCATTCTAGTACATGTTTTAGCGAGAATGATCGAAACAAGTTATTAAATTAAGACGTTTTATCATTTTGCGATCGGGAGAGGGGTTAACTTTAACTTTTCTGACGAATTAAAAAACGAAAATGAAGCTTTCCGGAGTGTCTAGCTTTTGAGAATACGCGAACAAACGTTAGGTTAAATCTTCTCCTGTAATCTTTAAGTCTCCAATAACAAGGAAAGAAGGTAGTGCCTTTTCCCTGTAATTGGCTTGACTTTCACGTGGCTCTTATGTCCACGTTAAAATGTTGCCTTGGTCTCCTCTCCGGTAGGAGACGTAAGAAACCGGTGTCATCACTAACGTGAGATGCTGGAATTTAAAGTAAATAAATAAGAGTTAAATTGTTGCTCTGCTTTGCTTTTGAACAGATATTTGACGATGCAGACAAGTCTGAACTCAGCTGTATCATTGTTGACGATATCGAGCGTCTTCTAGGTATGGCCACAGCAGTATTCTGTGAGAATTTAAGTAAAGATGTTTCTTTGACTGGAAATGTTGTCTTTTTGCGCTGTTATTAAAGGCGCTGTTTTAAGACGGTCTCCTTCTGTTGTCAATCCAAGTTGTAGGAACATGTTTTCTCTTTACTCTTTAAAACGCAGGAGTCCGACATTTTGTCAGAGCAATTTGCAAACAATGCAGAAAAAGGCGCGAAATAAATAAACATCAGTAAATAAAATAAATAGAGTAAAAGAGAGAAATGAAAATTGGCCGTTGAATGGTTAATAGTGCCAGTTTACGTTCATGGAAGAAAGATGTTGTATTTTGTTTTAGTTAGCCCAGGTCATAGATACTTTGTATTATCATGAAGCAAAATTCAAACTGTGGCTGTTCGCTTTTTGTCTTAGAAATTTGTCCACGTAAAATGAGCTGGGTCACCAACCAGCTTCCCCCTTTTCCCTCAAAAACGGCAAAAGAAAAGAGACAAACAATCAAAATGAAATAATTAATATATAGATTTAGCCAGGGTTAAAAGCGAAGCTCTGGTTAATAATACGTGTAAACAAAAAAAAGTGAAATCGTGTAATGCTAAACGGGGACGACGATGAAAATGGCTTCAAGACTAATAGATCTAATTAGCAAAAAACAAATTGCACGTGCAGCACACTTTTCCTCTAATTAGCAAAAAACAAATTTGCACGTGCAGCACGCTTTTTTGTCTTTCCTTTGCCTTTGTTTTGCACGACTACAACGCTGTTTTGTACGACTAAAACGTCAAACTTCCTAGTTACACATAATTTTTATGGAGGGATTGTCATATGTGCTGTTTTTCTTCCTACGAAATTCGTCTCCTTTGTTTTCAATAACTCGCTCTAGCTCTTTCTCTGTTATCCACTTTAGTGTGAACAAAAATAAAAGAGATAAATTATTAATGACAAAAAAATAAAGAGAGCAAAACACGACATACCCACAGGGTGGAAACAGCCTCTCACGCACACGTATTTAACTCTCTATTTCTTTACTTTTTTTCTCAGATTATGTGGCCATTGGACCAAGATTTTCTAACGCAGTTCTACAGGCGTTGCTTGTGTTGCTAAAGAAGAAGCTTAGAAAGGTTTGTCAACTTTAAGTCAACCTTACCCTGGAGAAGGATTATTCAAGAGATTCCGATTCAAACTGATTAATTGGATTATCTAAGTTGCTATTATGTGTAACTGGAAACCATTGGGATCATTTGAGATTTCTGGTTAACTGACCACCTACCCCTCCCCTAAGTCAACATTAGCACTTACTTCTCGCTTAGGGCAATATTGTGACTTATGGGAGGGGTAGGTGGTCCGTTAACCAGAAACCTGAAATGATCTCGCTATTTTCCGGTTCTCGAATGGGTTACGCTGTTGCATTTTCCACCCAAACGCTTTCTTCCCTAGCGGGTTTTCTGGATTGACTAGCACTTAATGGATCCCTGAAAGTAGCTCAATTTAGTGTCTAGTCGAAAGCTAAACTTTCATTACTCATAATCAAGACACAGATAGGCCTTTTTCGAGTTGCTGTAAGCCTCTGTTTCATAGCGAGGCCGAGTGCAAAAACATTAATATCTAAATAATTTTCTATTCTCATGCAGATAAAACTTAGTCTGTTTACAAAAGGAAGAGTTTGTACTTAGCCGCGTTTTGAAAAGGAGGGTCGTTGGAATTCGGAAATGGCGTATTACTGGTCATGTTTTACCTATCTCAGACAAAAATAGTTGGGACACTTCCACTCAACGCTGTTTTTTCACTTCTGTCCCGTCGACTGGTCCTCCCAATGTTGTTTATCGCATTTAATTGACCAATTCTTGCACACCAACATTGGGAGGGCAAGAAGACAACCGTATCCTAACAACTTTGACTGAGACTGTAGTTTTCAATCACGTGGTTACTCCTTGGACCACTCTGCTCATGACCCGGGATAGGTGCACTCCCCAATATAAGCTCTATGGATACGGGTATGGTTTTCAATTGCTAGTGGACTTAAATAGACCTTTCCCACGTTCCTATAAAGAAAGGTACCGTAAAATTCCGAAAATAAGCCCCGGGGCTTATATTTTTCAAAGGCCCTTTTTGAGGGGCTTATTTTTGGAAGGGCCTATATATTCGGAGTGGCTTATCTACAGAGGGAATTTTGCGTTTCAAAACCGATTGGGCTAGCCTTATAGTTGGAAGTAAATTTACCGTTTTTGCTCTGTTTCACTATGTATTTGAGGGCAACTTTCCAAGTACAAGTCCCCGAGGGGCTTATATTTGGAGGGGTGATTTAACGGATGGTTTTTTGCTTTACATGTTTTGGGAGGCTTATACTTGAAGGGGCTTATACATGGAGGGGCTTATTTTCGGAATTTTACGGTAGCTCAGTGATTTTGTTGATTCTGTGTCCTGCGTCCCTGATGCATACGAATTCCCAAAGGCGCAAAATAATTTAATGGATGCGTCCCGTAGGACGCAAAGATCGATCGATCTGAAGATGTTTTTTTTTTGTCGAAAATCTTGTTTGTGTGATTTCTGTGGCTGTTAACGTGGCTGTCGTTTAATGGTGCATATTTATTTTAGTCCCTCATTTTTGTCGTTTAAATAGAAGGACTACATTTTAATTTCATTGAACTGTGATAAAGAGTTTTGGAGTCTGTCTTCAGATTCAGTAACTGCCTGGTTACATTATACCCAAGCATTTTCAGTTTAGAACTCGTTATTTTTTGAACTGGGACTCATGATTTTTCACAAGATGAATCTCATTACTCACCTAAACTATTTCTAACAAAATCACTGTACTTACTCGAACCTCGAGATGTAAAAAGACAGTGATATGAAATTTTCAACTCAAGGCTTGGCTCCATTCCTTTTTGTTTGCTCATTGATGTGCAATGCGGGAAGGTTTATTTGGTCTCTGTAATAGGGTAAGTTTGTGTACTCTCTGGAACCAGATTCTGCAATTGTTGTTGTTTTTTTAATTTTTTTTTTCGCGGGTAAAGTGACTCTAAGGTCTGAAATAGGGCAGGGAAATTCATATGTTTTGGTTTGAAATAGGATCAAGTATTCGAACTTTAACGCTTTCTTTTAACCTTATAGGGTCGCAAGTTGATCGTTATTGGTACAACTAGCTGCCGTGACGTACTTGAACCCATGGGAATAGTGCAGGCATTTAACACAGTTATTCATGTTCCGCGTTTGTCCGTCGTAGAACATCTTAGACAAGTGCTACAGGTCAGTTATTTTAAAATCAAGATTAAAGACTCATTAGGGACTTTAAGATCCAACGACGCGACGGCGACGAGAACGTCGCTTAAAAGGTGAATTTGCGTTCTTTCAGTCTTTATAGCGATTATTCCTACCCACTTACTTTGTCAAAAGTAGGCGAACCGTCCTGAAGCTGAATTTTAAGGGACCATATCGAAGCTCAGAAAGAGAAATAAAATTTCGTCGTTACCTGTTTACGTCCTCCATAAAACGCAAAATTAGGCATTTTCACGTTGTGGTCATGCAAAAACAGGAAAGAAATGTACAAAAAAGCGTGATGCACGTGCGAAGTTGTTGTTTGGGCTTATTAAACCAATTGTTTTTTTTGACGTTCTTGTTGCCGTCTACGTCGTTGGATCTTAAAGTCCCTATTATATAAAGCAAACGGCAAACGTGCGCTTTGTAGCAGGTGGTGAAATGAGTACGACTGCAAATTTCGTCAAGGCTAGCGCTTGTTAAGAAAAAATAGGATGTGTTTTCTGGGATAACTAACTGAAACAACTGCTTGAAGCTCAGAAACTCTTCTAAGTTTGCAAAGTTTTTAGACTATTTTAGTCTTCGTTTCTTTTCTCGTTTTTGATACTTTTCGCTTTTCTTTTTTAATCCGTCTGCTCCAAGAGACAACTATGGAAACGTAACACCTTATTCTTCTAACTGTTTAGACTGTTGACAAAATCCTGTTTTGGGACTATTCAAATGAAACCTCTGTCACAGCGTTTGGCATGTTTTTATCTGCTGTTCACAATCAACAAATGCTTGTTTTCTTTTGTTTTCGTTTTGCTTTGCCTTTGTTTTCTGATTTGGATTTGCACGTTTTTGGAGGCGTGGAGCTGTTAGAAGCTCATACTGGTGTTCTTTGAACTGCTTTGACTGCGGCGTATTTCGCTGAGACAAACGCAAACAACTAAGTCAACTCTATGTACTTTGTAGGAGGTGAAGTTGTTTGATGAACGCGAAATCAAACTAATTGAGGACATCATTGGCCAACGAAGGTATGTCACATGGAACGTAGAATTTTGCGCACATTTTTCTTCTTCATTTGACGCGATTTCGGACTCCCTTCTCGCTCCTCTCCCAAGTGAAATTAGGCCGGTAGGCATTTGTTACCTTTCTTTAGTTAAAGCTTTTTGTTTATTATTTTAATACTCTTTCCTTTGTAGGTTGTTTGTCGGGATTAAAAAGCTCCTTATGATGGCAGAGATGGCGGTCCAAGTAAGTGAATCTTAATGAAGGCCCTTTCGTAAGAGCTTTTAAGTTCAAAATTTTAGTTTTCCATGCAGTGTGATCCTTCAATAAAAGCTGGGATGCTTCCCTCCCCCACCCCTTACCGCTGCAAGCCCCAATACCCGCCCCCTCTGTAGATTTGAAACCAAGATGGCCGCCCTTAAGGTGGCTCGACCCAGTTTTTTTGGGGGGGTACCATCCTACTTTGAAGCTCTCTGGTATCCCCACCTTTACTTTTCTCGTAACTCTAACACATAGAATGAATAACACATAGATCAATCTACAATATAACATAAAATTTTTGGCGATCGGACTTAAATTTGGAAACCGCTGAATTTCTCGAATTGGGTCTTTGCGATTTTGGTGAAACTCTGTTCAGCGCAAGGCACTAATGCGCACTATGTGTAGCCGAGAGATTTTCACGAAAAAATGCCGGCAACAGCAGATTTTCGACTCAGACCTCAAAGGGGCGTGGCATTACAACCACGTGACATTTACTCCGATCGCCCAAAATTTTATGTTATATTGTAGATTGATCTATATGTTATCCATTCTATGTGTTAGACTTACGATAAAAGTAAAGGTGGGGATACCAGAGAGCTTCAAAGTAGGATGGTACCCCCCCCCCAATAAAACCGGTTCGAGTCACCTTAAAGCAAAGATGCCATTCCGACTTAAGATGCCATTAATTACAACAACCGGGCTCTGATGCAGACCTCGCTGTGAAATGTGTACAGCATTGTCTGGGCTAAATTTAATCGTGCGATGTTGAGTCAATGGGGGGAAAGACCTTTAGGTTCCGTGGATGGTCAGAATAGCCATTAAAGGGAAACCTGCAGAGCACCGCCTTCCCGTGGCGCTACTTGTTATGCCTTAGATCTGATGAAAACCTAAAATGTGATCATTTAGATGAAAGTATTTTTGAAAGTATGTCGTGATATTTTCCCCCATTTTATTTTACAAAGTAATTCCACTTTTCCATGATTGGTTGTATAAAAACAAGTGCTTGGGGTCAATTTCTTTCAGACCAATAAACGTGATCGAGTCGATAAGTTCGTAAGTCTCTTGGAGGATGAACAGTGGTATGTATGTGAAGTGGAATGATGTGTTACTTGGCATACAACTCTGTGGTTTTACGTTATAAAAGTCGATCGTGAATGCTGTGCTTAACTATGATGTTTGTTGACTGTTGCAGTTTAATAGGCGAGGTCGGTTTATATTGAACCCGTCTGGAAAGTCACAGGTCTGTAAAATCATACTTTTCAGCAGTTGAATTTCCAGCTAAAGTATAACAGTCCGTTTGCTTACTGACCTTTTTTTTATATTCATTTGCAGATCTGATGATCAGTACAGAGTATTCAAAAGAATGCTTACAAAAAAGAAACATTGGCATACAGTGTAATACCTTAACTAAATCTGTCTGCTGTACACTATGTTATATTTGATTTGTGCGTAAAAAAAAAAAAAGAAAGAATGGGATTTGGATTGTACTAATTTCAAGAAGATGATGCATAATAGTAAACGTTAAGCTGCATTTTGCTTTCTACATAACTGCTTATTTGAACAACAGTCAAACGCGGTCGAAATTTTGTTTCTGTATTATTAATCCTGAACACAGGTTCGATTTTTACCTGATTAAACTCCAGAAAAGTAGCGAAACCATTAAGTGGAATAAATTCAGATTTGATTTACTGTTTACATACATTTTTTTCCATTTATTGGGTGCTGTAGTGATTATTTCCAGTCCCTTTGTTTTCTTGAGTACGAGAGTTTTTCATGGACTTAAAAGCCTTTGCACTTTCTATTAACTCTGACACTTCGCACAAGAAATTCCTCGGCCCTAGCTCTTGGTGTTTTTAAAAATATTTATTTCCAGCTGGTAACCATTTGTTCCTTACAGAAGAAAAGTCGCAGAATGGTTCTGCTTTGTCGTGTTTAGAGCTTGAACCGTTTTGTCGATAGCCTGCGTAGCTGGCGGGATTCTTGTGCGCGGGGTACTTTCTTGGCGCCTGGAGCGGCGAAACTGCGAGGGAAGATACCAATCTTCGCACGTCTTCGCCGCCAAAAAACTACAGTACGCCCGCTAATCCCGTCAGCTTTGCAGGCTACTTTGTCGATAATGAGCTTGTCTGTAATATAAAGCTAGTAAATAGCATGCGTAGCCAAAAAATCAGTGTGTTTCGAAGTAAACTAAGACAAAAACTATAACGGTGTATAAACAACGTAATTTATTTTACCGAATTGCAAGAAGGTAGCTTGCGAACCTCAGACGTATTTCCGGTCGTCGCTTCTCTCCCTAAGCCGAAAAGACCGGATGCTCTCGCAGGCTAGCAAGAAGACTTTAGCGGTAGATTTTATCCGTGGGACTAGAAAATAAGATTTTTGAGTTTTCAACGAAGGGGGAATACAGCTATGATTTCTGTACCCTGGTTAGCGACCCATCCCTAGAATTACGTTGTGATATGAAAAATATAGATTCAATAACAAGCATTATTCCCTTTCATCACGAACTGTTCTAATTGGATAGCCGCCGTTAATGCGTTAATGCATGATTATGACGTCACGCATGCAAATGTAGCGCGGCCTGCGTCTTGAAATGCGTGATCTTTTTGTTTTCCTGTTTCTCCTCTATAGTCAAGAATCAAACCAAGGTAAGAGGCGAACAGGAGATTATTCTAGAGATGTAAATCAACAGGGTGCTGTGCGTTACTCCAAATTAAGGCCAATTGGTACATTCTCTTTCTATACAGTTGCTTATACAGTAGTTTCTCGCGCTACCACAAGTTCAATACATTGTTCAAACGCTCAGCAACTGCTGATGATTCTTACCTCAACCTTGATTTTTCCGGATATTTGTAAAAACTGAATCTAATAACTATTTTATTATAAATTTGTGCACTGTTTCTAAAAAAAAAAAAAAGCGGCTAGCACACGCAACACTTCGAAATCATACGTCGCGCGCGCAGCCTTAGTCGATTATCTGTTACCACAAGCACATTCACACCAAAGCTTGAACATGTTTGAAGGAAGTTTAGTTTAACACGGTTTAAAATTGTTTCCATCGTAAAAGCTGCTTACTACAAACGTGTTGAATTTCAATTTATTCCTGTGTGAAAACATGCGTTCCATTTTTGGGCCGGCCTGCACCTATAGGCCTTTTTCAAAAATACCATAACACTTTTTGTTGTCTCTTCAAAAATTTGCATAAGCATTAATTTCAATTTCTCTTGGGGCGATTGTAAGTCCTAAGAGAAATTGAAGACAATGCTTANGTTCCATTTTTGGGCCGACCTGCACCTATAGGCCTTTTTCAAAAATACCATAACACTTTTTGTTGTCTCTTCAAAAATTTGCATAAGCATTAATTTCAATTTCTCTTGGGGCGATTGTAAGTCCTAAGAGAAATTGAAGACAATGCTTATGCAAAATGTTGGCAGGACAACAAAGGATATTATGGTATTTTTTTGGTATATTATTATGGTATTTTTGAAAAAGGCCTACCTATTAGGTTTGTGATTGGCCTGGAAAACAATAGCGATGGTAAGATAATAATTCCCACATCACTGAAAACCATAGGTAGTGCAGGCCTGACAGGGACCAATGAAATAAGAGGTCTGGATGGGTGCTCGTCAATCGCCATTTTTCAGTCTGTTTTTTTTTTAACTTGTTTAATTAAGCATGTCTATTTGGTGTAAATGGGGCACCATAATCTGTAGGTTGCGCTTGTTTTCAAGGGAAGTCATTGAGAAGACCGATAAGACCGATACACGCTGGCCTCCATTGTATCCAAGCGGAGCTCCCTGAGACGGCCACGTAATGGTTTTTAAGAGTACTCAAAACATCTATGGATATCTGAAAAAGCACCTTTGAAAACCTGTCAATAAGGTGACGTTTTATTCACTCTTCTCCTGGAATATATTTTTTTTAGTTCGTCAACCACCGATCATCACTCGCTTCCTCTCAGAAGATCTAGTCGATCGTAATGAAGTTAAGTTTGAAAAGCGTGGCGGCTTTAAACTTCCATGCGCGGCGTCTGGCACAAATCTGACATGGACTTGGAAGCACAATGGAACTATAAACACTAACACACGTGGAATTCCGTATTTGCTGAGCGAAGATGGCACTTTAAAAGGGAATTACCTGTCAACTGAACACAGCGGAACGTATCAGTGTCTGGTGAGAGACCAGATAACAGGCATTGAAGTTTTTAGCAGGAGACTGCAAGTTGCAGTCACAGGTAAAATTGCAAACTTTTAAATGAAGATATGATCGTCGCATTGGTAATTGCAATTTATGCAATTGCAAATTAACCGTGAACATTTCGGGACTTCAACGGGATTCGAACCTATGGTCTCTGCGTTAGCGCTGCAGTGCTCTACCAACTGAGCTATAAAGACCCATACATTGGGAGCAGGCTAATTTGTTGAGTTCATCTTAACGCGTGGAAGGAATGAAACATAGAATGAAGACGATGTGAACTGCGGAAATGTAAACTTAAAAGCAAACATTCTGTAAAACTGATTGCGCCTTGCTTTCCGTAGTTTCAGCGTTCTGTCACACAACCCTAGCCACTTTCACCACTGCGTTTATTTCTGACAGCTAGAAAACGTCAGGTCCCGGTTGCATAGCGCTCTCCACCGGATAAATCACTATCCAGGGAATAAGTGTTAAGAAGTTAACTATGTCATGATCCACAAACCTGGTATTTTATTCGATTCTTTATAACAAGGCAGAATAATGAATATAAACAGAAAGCACGGTGGTCTTATGTGTTGTGATTCAGTTTTATCCTTGGTTTGAATTTTACATTCTTTGATTTTTTTTTTAAAGTTATGTATGATAATAAGTTTGAACCAAAGGAAAACAAAATTTGAACCAGGGACGAAAGTGAACTACAACTTACATCTATATTATCTTGGGGGTTCCATCACACACGAGTCACCTACGCGCTCTGTATGTATAGTACGTGTTCCCCTGCAAGTAATCAACTATTTGTTTGATTCCTCTAGTTGTAGGAAAGTTTACTAGTTCTCGTGGTGTGGTGGAGAAGATCGATCTTGGACAGCCGTTTAGTTTCCAGTGTCCTGTGCACACACCAAGCTACGGTGCTGCCTTCAGCTGGGTGGGAAGTCTAAGGAGGATCCAATTCTCAAGAAACAAGCGCCGTGCAATCTCACCGAATGGTGGACTATACATTTCATACGTCACCAAGGAAGACATTGACGAGATAAATGGCAAGAGGGGGATCAGATGTGAATTGAGAGGAGCAAATACATTCGAGGCATCCGAGACTTTGAAACTGGAGATGAAGAATGCAGCACAGTCAGGTATAGCAAACCCTGCGTAGAAGGCGAGTGTAGGAGCGTAGGAACTATGAGAAAATTTTTTTCACGCTTTGGACTCGTTCTCTTGATTTCCTCGCTTACAACGATCGACTTGTGGGCAAGTTTAGCAAGAGCGGTGCATATCGAGAAAGAGGAGCGTTTACTATTTTTATAGCCTGCGACACAGACGAAACTAAACTCTAGTTAAGTCCGTCTGAGAATCAGCGCCAAAATCTTGGTTCTGGGCCTCATCTGTGTACCAGGATTTGAGTACGCACCAAGAAAAAATGCGATTGTCGATTTGCCAATTAAGCTGACAGGAAATTCGGAACACACTTCCGGTAATTCGTTGACTCCATAGGGGGGCATTCCGTTTAGGCGACGGAGGGGGGGGGGTTAATTTTTTCATCTAGAGCAATTGTTATTTGCAAATGTATCGGAGAACGCTCCAAGACACCCCTCCTCCTCTCCTCTCCTCTCCCCTCCCCCCCCCACCCACCACTCCCACTGTTCCATATTTCGCATGCGTCTGTTAATAGTCTAGGTAAAGTGCTGTGAAGTACCAGTAAAGTAGCATTTGTTAACTGCTGGGTCTGCTTCTTTGTTCAAAACCCTCTCATTTAAAGTCAGTGGAAGTGTAAAATCTCTTCTTTGTTTTCCAGATCCTAAGACTTTTCGCTCGCCGTCTTGGGCCGTTGTGCCAGCATCAGAGGAAATCGCTATTGAAGGAAGAAGCAAGACTCTATACTGCTTTGCTTACGGAAGGTAAGGTGCCATGCTGGACCTTGTAGATAAGTGCACCCACTGCAGATTACTATATTGACTACGCGTTAAAGCTCCGAGATCTCCATAATTCTTTATATGATACGAAAGCCGAATTCAATAATTGTTTTATTATTCATTCAAAATAATTTCTAGTTGAAAAACATAGCTAAAACATGCTTGCCTCCGTCGATGTTCAGTTCATCTTCGATAGTGCGCGTTTAGGGTTGTTCAGCTCTGCAAATGTTCTCCAATAGCAGATGTCGCCCTTCGAGTTGTCTTCTTGCTGTTCTTGCCATGTTTTTAGGCATTATTTCGCCTAATTCTTACTCTTGAAACGAGTGAAATGTCCGCCATTTTTCACAACCAAATGTCCGCGAGTTTTCACAACCAAAACAACTCAACCACGTCCCCAGGTCTTCTCGGTTACCGGTGCATTAACCCGCAGAATCCTGCACTTTTGACGTCATCGGTCAGTAAACGCAAAATTCTTCCAAATTTGGTCATCAGTAGGTGGTTATGGTGAATTATGCGTGTGCTTTTAGCCAATCAGAATCGGGGAAATATTTTGAATGAATAATAAATTATAATGGTGACTAAGTGCTATATTTTTACAGTTAATATTTTTAAAACTGGTTGACGGATAGAACCAAAAGCCAAGTGGATTCTTATATGCAAATATTGCTCTTCTATAAAATTTTTAGCCTGCTCTCATGGGTTATATTCTCGTTCTCTAGGAACTCATAGACGAAGCTAAAAAACATGTATTATAAACCAACGAGTAGCCCAGAGAAAAATAAGCCTAATGAATCGATTTAGGAAGTTGCTGATCGTTTGATTGATAGACTTACCTACTGATTGATTGATTGATTGATTGATATTCTGCAGACCGACACCAGAGATAACGTGGAAAAAGAATGGACAACCGATAACTCGAGAGCATAATTCCATTGGTATTCGTTTGGCTTTCTACGGAAGAAGTCTCTATTTGGCAAATGCAAACCGGACGCTTCACCAAGATCGATACACATGTGAGGCAGAGAGTTCTCTGTACATTGGCCGACCGTTGATCTATACTATAAAACTACTTGTCGATGGTAAGTCAGTTGTTATTTGGAACCGTCCCTAATGAAGGGATATTTAAGTCTGAAAAATATTTGGGTTTTTTCAGCGTAGTGTTATTTTATTACCGAGGTTTCGTTTATTTTATCGTTTATTGGGCATGACGAAAAAGAACATTTGGACCTAGGCTATAATGTAGCAAATAGTCTCGAATTTGTCCATTTCTGGATTCTTTCGGAAGCACTTCATGTTCGGATTAAACGATCGTATTTTATTTATCTGTGGTTTTCTTAAAGCCAGTATATAAGCTTGCCATAGAAAGCTAAAATGTTCCGTGTAGCATCAAACGAAATAAGAAAAATTCCACTTTAAAGGAACGAGGGACGGTCACGGCTGTCTAGTTCTTCATTTTGTTAATAATACTCGAGAAATTACTTGCGAATGAAAACGCCAAAGTTTCTTATCAAGCAAAGATGTCTCCCAAGCTTTAATATAATAAACAACAAAAATGAACTTTGCATCGATTTGACAAACTGTTAGGCAATCAATGTTTCAAAAAACCGCCATAATTGCAATTCGTTTCAGTCTCTTCAAGTTTTTCCATCCGTACCTCCTTTTTTGTTATACCTTCTTTTAATTTTTAAACGGTTGTTTTCATGTTTTACTCAATTTAGTGAGAGTTCCCAGCGTTCGAATTTTGATAAATTTCGTGACACAATTCCTTTGGATTACCTTCGTCTTAGTTGCACCAAGATGGAGTTTGAGTCCTCCACAACAGAAAACTAGCATTGCTGTTGGTGGAAATGGATCGTTGGAATGTCAAGTGACAGCTTTCCCGACAGCGAAGATCACGTGGTTTAAAAATGGAAAGCAAGTGCAGTTTGCAAAGTAAGTTTTGAAGAACGTTTTTGCTCTATTTTTGCGGCATCATGACGGGAGATATTTCGTTCTCTAAATAACTCATATTTATGTTTTGATGTTAAAACCTAATGACGTATTAAATATTTGGTAATCATATTATCCGTATCGCGAAAATAATCATAGATGAGGACTGTTGATATCATATGGTAAAATGAGCTCTGTAAAAACCTTTGGAATGTAGAATTTATTTATTTATTCATTTATTTATTTATTTATTTATTAGTTAGTTAGTTAGTTAGTTAGTTAATCAATCATTTCTCATTTTTTCCTCGGGGATATTTTTCGATAACAATACCTTTCTCGATAGGATTCAACCGCTTAATTGCCCTATTTAGTTTTCACTCTTGCTTCGATAAGTTCTTTTTTCCGGTTACTCCGGTTTCCCCCTCCACTTAAAAGCCAGCACTTCCGAATTCCAGTTCAGACAGGACCTGTGCAGTTGACGAAAATCCATCATGTGAATGTGCTGCATGCCTCTCTTAAAGCCTGTTTACATGGAGATGGGGGACCCCAGATAGGTGAGGTAATATGTGGCGGGTCACCCCACCTATCATGTAAACGTGATCAAATTAAAATGAGAGATAATATGAACGGGCTGGTTACCCCACCTAAGCGGGTTACCTCACCTTCCTGGGTTTCTCCACCTCCATGTAAACAAGCCCTTAATCCTTTTCCTTGTAAAATCTTTTAGTTACTTTTCGTCTCAACCTGAGCTATCGTTTTTCAACAGTTCACATCTCACTCGGGAAGGACACAAACTAAACTTCAGAGACGTAAATTACTTAGACGATGGCATTTATCAGTGTGTTGCTGAAAATAGAAGAGGAATGATTACATCAGCAACTTGGGTTCATGTACAAGGTGCGTTTATAATAATCTGAATCCTGATATTTTGCTACTTGGCCATAAAGCACTACTGCCCTACACAAGGGAAGCGGTAACCCCGCTTTCAGACACGATAGAAACTTGACTGTGTGGATAGATTGCACCACTTATCAGGAACCTAGGGGTGGGAATGATCGGGAAATTTGTAGTGGTTTTGATCTAGCAACTCCTTTTGTATTTTAAATGTACTTTGAGGCTTGTTTACTGCATTCTTGAATGGAAAACTCTACGAGGAACGAACGTTTCCCCTTAATCTGCGATTACTACTATCAGTTATGTTTTGGTAGTAATGTTTTAATAAAAGACTTGAAGGGAGTGCTTTTGTTTTGAATCATGTAATTTTTTCGATTGTAGTTATACCAGCGATAGGCTTGTTCTTGGACAAGGAACCGTCGGCTTGGGAGCGAGGCAACATTGTTGATTTTAGCCTCTCTTCGAAGAGGAGTGGACTTATATTCAAGTCAAGTATTAGGAATCATACGTCGAAATTTCAATACCCGTCGCTTCGCGAAAGGCTCTACATAGATAAAATTCCAAAATGGAGTTCACTTGTTGTTGGAGAGACAGTGTTGGTTGAGGTTCAGTCGAACGAGTTTCAGATAGGAAAGATTGTTTCCCTCACTGCGACAGACAACCGCGGCGGAAAAGTGACAGTAAAGACACAAGAAGACACGAGGGAATTTGATCACAATGCTATACGGATACAGGGTGGGTGTATTGCTACGTAAATATCACATGATTTTTATTTATTCATTAAAAGGAGCTGTGCATGCCAAGAAAGTTATCGAAATTCAAACAAATTATTAGAAATATGGTCTTTCACTGTATATTTCTCGGGAAAAAGGCGATCATTATTACATCCAAACACGGCACAAGGATCTTTTTCCCATTAGAATCTTATTCTAAGAAAACTTTAAGAAAAAATGTCCCGAAAAGCGCTCGAAAATATAAACGAAATGTACTCATGCCCCATGGGCATCCTATAATACTCCTTAAATCGAATTAATTTAATATGGCCGCCGTATCGGTAAAAAAGGTCTATTCGTTTCAGTCTCTTCAAGTTTTTCCATCCGTGCCTCCTTTTGTGTTATATCTTCTTTTAATTTTCTAAACGGTTATTTTCATGTTTTACTTAATTTAGTGACAGTTCCAAGCGTTCGAATTTTGATAAATTTCGTGACACAGTTCCTTTGGATTACCTTTGTCTTAGTTGCACCAAGATGGAGTGTGAGTCCTCCACAACAGAAAATTAGCATTGCTATTGGTGGAAATGGATCGTTAGAATGTCACGTGACAGCTTTCCCGACAGCGAAGATCACGTGGTTTAAAAATGGAAAGCAAGTGCAATTTGCAAAGTAAGTTTTGAAGAACTTTTTTTTGCCCTATTTTTGCATCATGAGGTATTTCTTTTTCTAAAATAACTCATATTTATATAATGTTTTGATGTTTAAACCTAATGGAGTATTGAATATTTGGTAATCACATTATCGGATTGCGAAAATAATCATACAGGAGGACCACTGATATCATGCGGTAAAATGAGCTCTGTAAAAATCTTTAGAATGTAGAATTTATTCATTCATTTATTCACTTATTCAATTTATTTATTTATTTATTTATTTATTTATCTATTCATTCACTCATTTCTCATTGTTTACTCGGGCGCCTTATTTGGTTTTCACTCTTGCTCCGGAAAGTTTTGTTTTCCAGTTAGTCCGGTTTCCCCCTCCTCTCAAAAGCCAGCATTTCCGAAATCTAGTTCAGACAGGACCGAATGTGCTGCATGCCTCTCTTGAAGCCTGTTTACATGGAGGTGGGGGACCCCAGATAGGCGAGGTAATATGTGGCGGGTCACCCCACCTATCATGTAAACGTGATCAAATTAAAATGAGAGATTATATGAACGGGCAGGTTACCTCACCTAAGCGGGTTACCTCACCTTCCTGGGTTTCTCCACCTTCATGTAAGCAAGCCCTTAATCATAATCCATCGTTCTTATTTTATCTTTTCTTTTCCTTGTAAAATGTTTTAGTTAGCTTTCCCCTCAACCTGAGCTATCGTTTTTCAACAGTTCACATCTTACTCGGGAAGGACACAAACTAAACCTCAGAGACGTAAGTTACATCGACGATGGCATTTATCAGTGTGTTGCTGAAAATAGAAGAGGAATGATTGCATCAGCAACTTGGGTTCATGTGCAAGGTGCGTTTGTAATAATCTGAATCCTTATATTTTGGTACTTGGCCATAAAGCCCTGCTACCCTACACAAGGAGAGCTTTAACCCCGCTTTCAGACACGAGACAAACCGGGCTGTGTGAAAAGAATGCACGACTTATCTTGGACCCTGGGGTGAAAATAATCGGGAAATTTGTAGTGGTTTTCATCTAACAACTCCCCTTGCTTTATAAAACTTTTAGGCTGGCTAAGGGAGACTTGTTATTATTTCGTCCTTAATTGGAAAACTCTACATGGAACGAACTTTCCCCCCTTAGTCTGCGATTACTACTATCAGTATGTTTTGGTAGTAGTGTTTTATTAAAAGACTTGAAGGGAGTGCTTTTATTTTGAATAATTTTTCTATTGTAGTTGTACCAGCGATAGGCTTGTTCTTAGACAAGGAACCGTCAGCTTGGGAGCGAGGCAACATTGTTGATTATAGCCTCTCTTCGAAGAGGAGTGAACTTATATTCAAGTCAAGCATTAGGAATCATGCGTCAAAATTTCAATACCCGTCGCTTCGCGAAAGGCTCTACATAGATAAAATTCCAAAATGGAGTTCACTTATTGTTGGAGAGACAGTGTTGGTTGAGGTTCAGTCGAACGACTTTCAGATAGGAAAGATTGTTTCCCTCACTGCGAGGTCAGACAACCGCGGCGGAAAAGTGACAGTAAAGACGCAAGAAAACACGAGGGAATTTGATCACAATGCTATACGGATACAGGGTGGGTGTATTGCTACGTAAATATCACATGATTTTTATTTATTCATTAAAAGGAGCTGTGCATGCCAAGAAAGTTATCGAAATTCAAACAAAGGGAAATGCTACCAGATTGAGCGAAACATTAAAATGACTTCTCAAATATAAATAAAAGGTGTAGGTGACACAGCATATACAAAAAAAAAGGCATGGATGGACAAATTTGAAGAAGATTGAAACGGGTTGCAATTGTGATTTTTGAAAATTTATAACCCTTACGTTAACAGTTTTTCAAAGATAATATTTTTCGATTGTAACGCCAGATTTAATGCTTGGGAGACGTATTTGTCGGACATGAATCAAAGATTTTGCCTTTGCTGAAGTCAAGTTCCAAAGCAGATAAGGACGTAGCCTGCGAGCAAGCTCTCCGGGGTGCTCTGGCGGCCGGACGGGAAAGGAACGAGAACTTGAAACTGCGTCTATGGAATTTGAATTCCAATTCCCCTGTGGCTCCCCGTCGACTGAGCTGTCAGATTTTTGCCAATCAGCGCGAAGCGGAAACGAGTGTGAATGTAAATAAACGTTGAAACACACGTGCCAGGGGTAATGACGCTATTACTAATGTCANACACGAGGGAATTTGATCACAATGCTATACGGATACAGGGTGGGTGTATTGCTACGTAAATATCACATGATTTTTATTTATTCATTAAAAGGAGCTGTGCATGCCAAGAAAGTTATCGAAATTCAAACAAAGGGAAATGCTACCAGATTGAGCGAAACATTAAAATGACTTCTCAAATATAAATAAAAGGTGTAGGTGACACAGCATATACAAAAAAAAAGGCATGGATGGACAAATTTGAAGAAGATTGAAACGGGTTGCAATTGTGATTTTTGAAAATTTATAACCCTTACGTTAACAGTTTTTCAAAGATAATATTTTTCGATTGTAACGCCAGATTTAATGCTTGGGAGACGTATTTGTCGGACATGAATCAAAGATTTTGCCTTTGCTGAAGTCAAGTTCCAAAGCAGATAAGGACGTAGCCTGCGAGCAAGCTCTCCGGGGTGCTCTGGCGGCCGGACGGGAAAAGGAAGGAGAACTTGAAACTGCGTCTATGGAATTTGAATTCCAATTCCCCTGTGGCTCCCCGTCGACTGAGCTGTCAGATTTTTGCCAATCAGCGCGAAGCGGAAACGAGTGTGAATGTAAATAAACGTTGAAACACACGTGCCAGGGGTAATGACGCTATTACTAATGTCATCTCCGCCAAACAACATTTTGCATCGACTTTTTCGATCCAGATTGTCAAATTCCAGAGACGTAGTTGCAAGCTCTCCTTCCTTTTCTCGCCCCGCCGCCCAAGCGCCCCGGAGAGCCTGCTCGCAGGCTAATAAGGACGTTTAATTAAAAATATTAACAAAATGAACTAGACAGCCGTGACAAAGACCCTTTAAATCTTTGGCAATGGCAGGCCTGATAATTTATCATCCGGCTTGCAAAGGCTAAAAAAAGACCAACAGATCAATTTGATTAAATGTCACCTTGTTTGTCTATTTTAGGAATGAACATTTGCCAGTTTGAAGAGGCTGCCTGTAATACTGACTCTGAAGACTGTCGACCGATCTATCTAAATAAATGGCTCGTTATACCTTCACAATATAAATGCTCCTGCAAAGAAGGCTACCAGATACATCCAATACACAAATGCATAGGTTTGTGATGGGTTTATAGTTTGTGGCGTATTAAACGTGTAGCTGGGACTCTGATACCAAAGTGAAAGAGCCTTGGCAGTTCGATATAGTAAAATATTGAGAATGAAAAGAAAAGAGGTGGAGCCCAAAAATCAACACGTAGGCGTCCTCTCTTATGGGATTAAGATAGGCCCTTTTCAGCCAGTAATTCACCTGCTACAAAACTGCAATGCTGAAGAGAAGACAAACAAAGTGGATTCTCATATTAAATGCTGTAGGCTCTTTGTATCTCTTGTCTCAGTGCGTAACCCTGCTCTCCAGCATGATAGTTTTGTACCCTGTGAATGACTAGGTACGAAGGGTCTATTCATAAACTGTCCCGACAATATTTGACCAACAAACATTAAATGTTTGGTCTTGGACGAAATAGCCTCTACACTTCATTGACTTTTAACAAACACTGGATTGCTTTTAGACGCTCAGAACAGCGTTCTTTGTTCTTTAATGGAATG